AAAATCGGTTTTCCACTAAAATTAACCGTTTAGGTTGTACAGCCTGTCAAAGTTGCAAAAAAGTCAATTTTCAACTGTCAATATTTCCGAATGAGTAGAAGATAGGTATAGGACATGATACATAAAATATGTTCAGAATTTAAAAATGAAATAAAAAATTAGTGTTTTCATTTAAAAAAATAAAGTTGGTTGTCATAACGTGTTTTTGGGTCACTCTGTATATATGGTATTATCATCAGAAAAACGGCCAATAAAATCAAAAATTGACGTGCCCGAGGTTTTTTGAGAAATAGCCACCCTGATAATAACCCATGAAAAAAGATATGGGGGCCTGTAATTCTTCAGATGGTCTTTGTTCTGCAGAAAAGAATCTTATAGGTCTTGTCCCATAAGTGATATTGCTCCTCCAGTTTATGTTTTTTGTCTTTGTGAAGTTCAGATTCTCAAAAAACTCCTTTCTTTTCCTCTTTCGATTTTCCTCTTTCGATTTTCCCCTTCATTTTTAACATCCCCTGCTTCCTGCTTCCACTCTTTTTTCTTCCACTCTTTCTTCTTCCACTTTTTCATCTTCCACTCTTTCTTCTTCATTTTCTCCTTTTTTATATACATCATCTTGATCTTCTATATCACTGATATCCCTCAACACTCCAGTTATATCGAAATCAGTAATATCAGCAATTGGTCCATCATTCTCCTCTTCTTCATCCGCCAGACCGAAAACTACCGAATCATCATCATCAAGAAGACAAGGGAGCAATTCTGCTTCCGTCAATGGTCTCTGCAACGATTTTTTCTTACTTGTTGAAGGACGATCAGCCATAATAACTGAAAAAAAGTATATTATGCTAAATTAGTATAAGAATGTACTTTTGTCCATTAGAATGGACATGGTTTTTCAACCGGCTCTATGAACCCCTAATCATTCAGTCTTCTTAGAATTCATCTATATCACGATATGCAACATACTTGGTACTTACCATATAAACCAAAACACTTCATAAAATTATGGAATGAACTAATTATTTTAAAATTTATATGAGCACTTGTTTACAATGCTGCGGATATCGCTTTACAGGGTTATATTTCAATATTCGTCAAAGTGCACCATCTTGAACGTAGATAGCGAATGCATTCCCCACATAGACAAAATGATTTGCGCCAGTTAGGTATGTATTATAAGTGACATGGAACAGATATAAAAAAACATGTCCATCCAAATGGATACGGCGAGCGAAAGGGATAAATCATTAAACTGTTCTAAAATAATTGTTTTCATTATTTACAGCTTACACATAATGTTGAACGAATTTAAATGTTTTTTCTTTCACAATTTTCCGTTACCTTTTCAAAGATTCAATCTAGCGCGTTTTCCCAAGGCAACAAAATAAAAGAAACTCTTCATGACTCATTAGGTATTGTAGACTGAAGACTCAAGACTCTAAGCTGGACTGATGTCTGAACTGATTCCAAAATTCCGAAACCGCTGTTTTTATTTATTGTTTTTGCATTTTCAAGTCCTTGTAAATTACGGGTTTATTTTTTCCGGGTCATTACAGATCCAACAGTGTATTCAGTAAATATTTTCATATTTCCAGCTCTACATAGTAAAATTCGTGCCAGTCTAGTGAGTTTTCGAGAGTCTAACATAGCTTTTATGCCAACCACATTCTGACAGAGCCTCAAATCTGTTTGCTTTCAATATTAGACCCTCAACTCTATTCCAAGCGAAAAACGATAAAACGATGTAGCGGAAAATTGCCTTTTTTTTTTTCACCGCAAGTGGCCCAACAAGGTGACATTGATTTATTATATCAACGAAAGAGGATTTTAAGTTGTTGGCAAAATATTAAGATTGTTAGACAACAGATGGGCGTATACGAGATTTTTTCCTCATAATTCAATAAGTGTCATAGACCCATTTTTTTTTTTCCGAGAAGAAAGAGGAGGCTTTTTGTGGAACTAGGAAAAAAGTTAATAGGCAAGCTTTGAAAGATGTCTCGGTGGATAAAAACGATAAGAAAAGGGCGTTTTATGAATGGTAACCAGCTCCAAATTACAAATGGTGGGTAATCAAATACACATTATATTTATTGCGAATGATTTCATAGAATTGTTTATTTTGGGGCTTCAAACATTTACCATTTACAAAAAATATTAAACAGGGTAAAGGGCCCCATACACTACGATGAAACACGACGGTTTTCACCGCCACGTTGAAACGCGTCGTTCTAAAACCGAAGTGTGTAATAGAAAAACACGACGGTTTTTTACAAGGCCCCATACACTACGATGAAACACGACGGTTTTCACCGCCACGATGAAACACGTCGTTCCAAAACCAAAGTGTGTGGTAGAAAACCGTTCGTGTGTACGAAATGTTAAACCGTCGTGCCAAAAATCAAGGACTGAATTTTAAACCGACGATGAAACACGACGGTTTTCTACCACACAGTTCGGTTTTGGAACGACGTGTTTCATCGTGGCGATGAAAACCGTCGTGTTTTATCGTAGTCTGTGGGGCCCTGTAGAAAACCGTCGTGTTTTTCTATTACACAATTCGGTTTTAGAACGACGTGTTTCATCGTGGCGGTGAAAACCGTCGTGTTTCATCGTAGTGTATGGGGCCCTTAACTCAGAGTAAATTTCCCTTTTCGAACGTACCATGTACATCCAACTTAATATTTGTGGTGGGGAATATCAGTAAAAATGAGATTAGGTATCAGTAAACATCGAGCAGTGCTAACCCCTCCACAAATATTAAGTTGGATGTACAGAACGTGTTCTAGAAGGAAAATTGACTCAGAGTCACCCTATATTCCTTTGCATATTGAAACTGAAGGTGAAAGTAACATTGAATGTAACTATAATTATAAAAAAAAAACACGATTTTGCTAATAACAAATTAAATTATTACTACCAACGTACACCTACAAAAAAAAAGTACCCATTTATGGAAAATTTAAATAAATTCATAGAATACTAAATTCCAACACTAAGGTAGAATGCTTATTATCAATTTTCCGAAAGCAGGTTACTATAGTCTGCTATATAACTGCAGCTAATGAATAATTACAAATATGACCCAATTTCAAAATTTACACAAAGTACCTACACCTTATCCAGAAAATATTAAATCAAAAATATCCTGTACATTAATGTGACGGAACTAGCTATTGCCCCTGTTTGGGCTTCAGTCAAACCGCACCAGGGATGCCAAAAGTCTTTACTTTGACTGACTAATAACCATTAGGTATTGGATCATTTAAGCCTTGTATTATGGGTTAGAGGTTGCCTTGATTCTCATTTATACAAATAAAACGCTGAAATAGAATAATTATCAATTCAATTAATAAATGAAAGTAATTCGGTATAGTCAGCAATCAAATCCTATCTAAAAATTCCTAATTGGACGTCCAGTCGAACTACAAATTTTATACTAATCTAAAGTAAATGAGTATCTTGATTTATAAAGGGTAGGGAAATCTGTTAATGATAATAACATCATTTATAGTTAAATGTTCAATGAACGAGAACACAAATTAACTAATTAAATGCACGAGTGCACAACATAAATAATTCGTCAACTTCAATCAGTTCACTGAGACTCAATAATTTGACCACTATTCCGCGGAAGTCTGCAAACAATATGTGCAAGAAAAGTGTTTATATATGCTCAGTTTCTATATACAAATGTACAAATGTTAATTTCACGAGTGTGAAAACAAATTTCTGCATAAGCGTTTGAAGACACTTCAATTTATAGTGCATTTCAAGCGAATCACTAATCAATATTTATTGTTCGACTGTTAGGGAAATTGTAACGGTCTTACTTGCTTAATCCGGTTCATGCAGATAAATCAACAAGGCGATTATTCATCCATTTATCACTATTCACACTGGCAGCTAGGGAATTTTGCACTGAGATAAAAACACAAGATATGCAGGCGCGTTGGAGCCCGGCGAGAGTGAGAGAGAGAGAGAGCCAAAAACAGGCACTTACGAGAGAATTTGGCTCGTCCGAGGTGACTTGCAATAATTAGGGGTTAATTACATGAATTGTAATCAATAATATAGACCATGTCAGGCCTTGAGACATAGAGAGTAGTATTTTACTATAAATCGCGCGTACTAACGGGGGTTTTGGGGGTTTTGCTTCTGGGGAGCATCAGAGGGCGCGAACTCAATGCTTGTTCTAATAGTACTGAAGAATGTGCGTCGACTAGCTCTGCCAGGGAGCAAGTCGCAGAAAATAGGAAACAATGTGGCAGCTGACCAATTACAGCGGCGAGAAAGGTCCACTACCTTATAAGGTAATGAAGAAACCTGCAATTTTATTGGTTCAAAGGGTTGTTGTTGCCGGTTTTACAGGATAAATAGTCCAGCAATAGCATCTATTTTCAAAATATCATTTTTATGGTAAATAATAGAGAAGAAAATTATATTAAATTAGAAATAATAAAAATTAAACCTGTTGTGGGTTATTTCCGCAACAAATAAAATATTGAATCTTTTATTATTTATTAATTTATTAGGAAAGTTTCACACGATATTGGAATCGGTCCCCAAGGATTACCTAATCAGAATTCCGAAAGCTAAAATATAGGGAATAAAAACTCTCCTCCTGATTTTAATACATTAAGATTGAGTTTCATAACGAAAAAGAAAATTTCTTTTCGAATAATTTTTTCCAAGACTGAGTTTTTTTTCATTAATTTAACATAGGCATACCTAATTGGATAATTGGATAAATGAGGAGGAAGTATTCTACATTTACGTTTTGTTAAAGAATAAAAGATTTGATCATCACAATTATTATAATGTGGAACCATAATGAGTCCAAATTTAGTTTTATCAGAAAAAAAAATGTTGAAGAGAATCAGATGCCTAAAGCGTACTTTGGTCTGTAGTAGTAGTGAAGAAAACTGTACTTATTTGAAAGATTTTTTTAGGTCTTAGAATAGTCTCTATAACTAATAACAGTTACTATTCTACAATTCCAGGAAACTTTCATCAAATGCTGTGGTCTCGGAATACAACGTGGTAAACCTCCAAAACAGTACTCGATTCTCAACAAGTCAAATTTGAAAGGAGGCCCCGAATCAACGGATTCTGCTAAGGACGACACATTTCAGACAAACTCTACTTTAACCTATAAGAATTCGAACGATTCGTTCAATGCAGGATCAACAAGGTAACCGTAACTATTGTTTCTTAAAAACTAGGGAAATTGCAACTTTTCAAATCCAGCAATCTTTCTATTGAAAAATTCTTCAAGCTTGGATTAAATTCACATCAAATTTCTTTTGAGTCGGTTCAATATATTTTTTTGTGATAAGCAAATTTAGGTTTAGAGCTAAACTAAAATTGCTGACGTTATAATATATGATAATGGGAACAAATTTCCTCTTAGAGGGCTTAAAAGCTAATGGAAGCCTTGGGGAATATGGCAGACACGAGATTACATACTCGTTAGTCACAAGCAGAAAAAAATCCCAATTCTAAATTAATTCCATGTACAAAGACAAAAATAATCTCCGCATTGAATAATTCCACGTTGCTTCTTCATTTCCGTACGTAACTGGGATACCTATTATATATTTCATACAAACTAATTGAAGCTCTAAGCGTAGGAAATTTTGTTTTCCGTTTTATTATGCACCCGTAAATTTCTAATTAATATTTTGTTCCAGGTTTAAATTTTCCATAAACCGAATGAAAAACGATCCAAGAAACAGTTCGCAAAAATCGCAAAACTCCTTCACGACCTACGCGTCCCTTCCGGTAGTAGTGAACTCACGAAACGATACCAAACTCACCAAACTTTCTCAATACTTCGAGTGTCTAAAGAAAAGTCCAGGAAGTGGCAAGTTTTCATATGGAAACAAGGAAACTCGACTTAGCATGGAATTTCGTCTGCATGGAAGCAAAGCTGATGGTCATGCGTGCGACTCTTGTGATATAAGCAACAGCAGCCTTAAGGATATTGAAAATGGTGCTATAGAAGATGAACTTGGGGCTTATATTAAGGAACTGAAAAGTGGAGAGATCTAAAGTGTGGATAATGGAAAATTTTTCTCAGAAATGACCAATAAAGAGGCTGAAATTAGGATAGAGCATAGTGAATTAAGACAAAGTTAATTTATATTTTTAATATTGTTTACTAGAGCTTAACAAATCGATGTGTGTGTTTGAAAATATAGATGCTAAATATATTCAGTGTGATAAGCTCTAATACTAAATATTACCAACAAGCTTGCATTCTAGTCAAGACAAGAATCACCAACCCAACTCACAGCGATTTCACTTTCATCGAAACTCAAATATATCTGCTAGTCAATTCATCTAAACTCAGTACAACTCACCAAACTTATCGTGATTTTTAAACCAGGTTTCGCATAAAGTAGCATTGTACATTGTCATAGTTATATTTTGATACAGAACAAAGCACATTTTTGAGGCCGAATTCATTTAAGAATGTACATATTATTGTTATGTACAAAAGTTAGAAAATAAGGCTCGCATTTAGGTTATACATAATTAAGACTGTTGTGTCATTATTAATTGCAGCAAATTGGCTGTAAATGATATTTGGTTTGCTTATTACTGAGGCCTAACTTATATGAAAATAGTATTTTTACAAGACAATTATGAATTGGCTGCTGCTAAAATTTTGAATTTGTGGACCATTACTTTACCCCTTCATTTAAACAATTTACTGTGTAGCGCCTTGTATAAAATACGCACTTTGAATTAAATTGAAAACTGTAATAAAGTAATAAGAGATGTTGAAAAGTAACACAATAAATGTAATTCATTTTATTGGTCTATATTTGTATATTAAATTCTACCAAAATTCTTTGAAAATATAAATGTGAATAATCATTAAGGTCTCTCTATTAAGTACATAATTGTATGACTGTGAAATTTGTTTTGTAATTACCTACTATATTAATAGATGTTTTTTTTTTAAAAAAAAAATTGTAGTTTTCTTTGAATATAGATAGAGAGATAAAGACTTGGAGCGGTGACTTGCGTCGCCTTGTATTTAGAAAGTAGACTAATCAGTCTGTATGATTATGGATGAAAGTAGTCGTCCTTCCCAGGTTTAGGGATAAAGGTGACTTCAACTTCTCTCTACTTCATGGGTGAGTATAGTATATAGGACAAGACAGGCATCGTTATTATCCATAAATCATGAAGACCTGTGTAATGAATAGAACTTCCGAATTATACCAAAATATTGACGTTATTTGTATGCTGTTGAAGGAGAAGCTTGAGAGTTGCTCTCGGAGTTGCTATATGAGCGAATCGGTAGCGGCTGATTTAATTCTATTTTATTTTGATTTGATTGAAGATGATCTGCTATTGACTGGACTGGTTTAGGTATATTTAACTGAGTTTCAATGATTTCCTCATTTTCATCCGATACTTGTTCTCGACTATTCGGTGATAAATGCTTGTTTGAAACAAATATTTTTATCCCATTTTTCAGTCTGACAAACGAATAATGCGGAGATGATCAGCTCAACTTCCTCAACTTAAGGGTCATATTTGCTTGTGCGAATATGCTTCTTCATCAAAATTTTTCCCGAAGAAGTCAGCAAATATGGCAATGAGTCCCCCTTAGTAGATTTTCTATTATGATGAAACATTCTTTCATGTGAAGTGACATTTGTTGCTGTGCAGAGGAGAGATCTGGTGTAACGTAATGATTCATCCAGAACAGATTTCCATCTGCACACTTGCACACATTCAAGTTTCGCGATTTCAGCGCTTATTGAACTGTTCTCCAAATCGTACTATTCTCTTTCTCTATTTGCCCATTTCCTTCTGGATTGTAACTGGTAGTTCTACTGGTAGCTATATTCCACGCTCTTGCAAAAAGTTCTTTAATTCTGAAGACATGAAAGCAGATCCACGATCTGAGGGTATAAAATTTGGTATTTCAAATAGTTGAAAAATACTTGTCAAGTGCTTCATCTTAACGGAAGCTGCTGAAATATCAGGGCAGGAAAAAGCAAAAGGAAATCGGAAGTATTCATCGATTATAGTAAGTATAAATTTATTGTTTGTCGAGCTTGGTAATGGTCCTTTAAAATCCATGGATAATCTTTCAGATGGAACTGCTGCTTTTATTATAGTTCCTTTATTTTTGAGAAATCGGAGCTTTGCTTGTAAACAGACTGAACAGTTAACAATCATTTTCCTAATATCCTCAACTGAATACGGTAGATTTTTGCCACGTACCCAATGAATCATTCTCGTGACACCTGGGTGACATAGACTGTAGTGCAGAGTTAACAGTTTCTGTTGTTCTTCTTTAGTATTTATAACGGCACAAACCTTTGATAAAGCATCAGCGACTATGTTTTCTCTTCCTGGTGTATATACAATGTCATATTTGTAACAGGCCAATTCCAACCGCCATCGTTATATTTTATCATTTTTTATTTTTCCTGCATGCTTATCATCAAACATAAAAGAAACACAGCGTTGATCTGTTATTAGTCGAAAAGGTCGTCCGATTAAATGGACGAAGTCGTTCAGGATCAGGTTTGATTTGTTGATTTTCAATTTCATATCCTAGGAGATTTATTTTTCTAAGTCCGTACTTTGATTTAGTAGAGTTTATACTTTTCAGCAACTTTGAAGAATTTTCGAAGATTTTTGTCTTGCTCTTTTTGAGTCTTACTACTTACTGTGATATCATCAAGATAGGCATATGTGCCTTGAAAATCTTCTTTCTTGATTATACTGTCAACAACTCTTTGAAAACTAGCAACTCCAATGGTAATACCAAAAGGAATTCTCGTGAATTGATATAGTTCGCCGCACGCCTCAAACTCTGTATAAGGTTTTTCATGTTCGAGAATTGGAATTTGGTGATATGCACTTTTTATATCTATAGTGCTGAAAACTTGGTGTCTTGACACTTTTGAAATAATGTCTTCTATGTTTGGAAGTTGATATGCGTCTAGTTCAATGAATTTGTTTATAGTCTGGGCATAGTTGATTACCATTCGTCTCTTATGATTTGTACTGGAAGTGACTAAAGCTTGAGCTCTCCAAGGCAAATTACTCTTTTCAATGATATCTACCTTCAGAAAGCATTATCCGGATTTCTTGTTCGATAAATTTCAGGTCTGCTAGTGATTATTTCGTAGATTTAATAGCTATATGTCTGCAAGTGTTATTGAGATTCGTGAATGGAGATGCAGGAGTAATATCCTCCTTGCATCAAAACGCATACTTTCAAAGTATCCAGGTTTATATTGAATGACATCTTAAGTTTAGAATGATGATGTAGAAAATTGTGTCCCAATATAATATCTGAGTAGAGATTTTTCATAACCAGTAATGTCAAGTTTTCATATGTAGGGGTATTTGCTTCTAGTGACACAGTACAACTTCCTTCAACTTGAGAGACCAATGATATTGACGCCATATTCACTCGTTGCTGAGCAGGAATTTGTGGAATCTGCTCAAGAAGAGAAGCGTTTATGAAACTTGATGTACTTCCTGTGTCAATGAGAGCTTTAACTGGTTGTCCACAAATTTTTGCATCAATAGTAGCTTTTCCAAGTCCTTGTGTCGAAGCTGCAGTCTCGATAATTGCAGTAACGATGGAAGCTGACGTTGCCCTAGAGTCATACTATTTACTGTTACAAACTCTGGTGAAATGTCCTTTCTAAGAACATTTTTGACAAGTAGCATCTGAAGCTGGACAAAGATATCCAGGATGACGTGATCCTCCACAAAACCAATATTTCGCTAGATTCTTGGTAGAAGTAGCTAAGATTTGATTCGAATGATCTGACTTAGAATTTGAAGTATAATCAATTGAAGTTGCATTGATAGAGTTTTGTACGAAGCTTTGTGAGTGAATTTCAGCCATTTCTAAAGATTGAGCTTGATTATGAGCCTCGTTGAGACTAAGGTTTTTATATATTTTCAAGCAATCGAGTGCGTTAGGAGTTGTTTAGGCCTTTTATAAAAGTATCTCTGATGTAGTAACAGCTTGAAAACAACATTCAGTAGCTAAAAGGTTTAAGGATTGTAGATATTGGTCTATAGATTCGGAAGCTTGTTGTTGACGGGTCACTAATATATGTCTAGCATAGACCTCATTTTTAGGTTTGATGTAAGCTTTCTCTAATATGGCTATAGCGGAAGCATAATAATATGTTGAACATTCACTCACCAATGCATAGGTACACATTAGGAGCTATATGATTTACCAGAAGTTGTAGTTTAATTTCATCTCTGAGATCTTCAGTTTTAGGTTTGTTGGCAACAAGAAAATTTTCGAATGTATTCTTCTATTGAGTCCATTCCAGAATCCAGACTAGCAGAGCTAGTCGACGAATCTACTTCGAATCTTTCTGGACGATAATACCTTAATAGCTCGAAATGAATGGCGTTATTCCCCCTTGCCCTTCAGACGTCGTAGTGGTAGACTCGTGAGGCGAACTATAGAACTTCCGAATTATTTCAAAATAATGGCTTTATTAGACAAATAACTTGATATAACAAACTGATTAATACAATGACAATCATAGATGACAATAATATATCAAATGTCAAAATTAAACAACTGGCACAAAACATCACAACTGGTAACAATGATATACTGTTGAATACAAATCATTTTCACAACAACCTGCTGTGAAAAAGCAGATTTTGGATATTTGAGATCTCCTCTTGCTGTTACAATGTTTGCCTGTGGGTTTTTGCAAGAACTGGACTGGTGGTTCTCTAATTGCTCTCAACCTTCACTAAAACTAATTATCTTGGCACGTAGACCTTTTTCCAACTTAACAATCAGTTTTTCGTAGAAAGATAGCATTCTCACAGCTGTGAACTCGAATCAACCTATGCTAAAACAAAGTATATGTGTAATGCTGAATCTCCATTCAACTCTATGTTCCATGGATAAAATCGCTAGGGACATCTTGTCGAATCACCTGCAGGCTTGAAGGAAATATAAGTTCATTTCGAAAATCAGTACGCAGCCACATGAAGCAGCATTATTCCTGCAAACTGCAAATATTGCAATAAATCTATCTATCTATCAAGCTTCGAAGTCGATTTTCTCAAAACCGGTATCCCGTGGAGGGGAAACTCTAATGAGCTTTTTTGTGGTTCTCGAGATCTACAAGTTTTGCACAAAAAGTTTTCCTCGCAGAGTTATCGTTTTCGAGTAACGACGCTTTGATTACAATTACAATTAGGTACAAAACTTTATTTAACTTCAATCAAGCTTATGACTGATCACAAATCTAAATCACTCGCTGTTTTACTATCGTCTTGCGTTCAGTATTTGTTTTTTTTTTTTTTAATTATTTAAAACCTGCTCTTTTTGAACCTTTTATTTCAATATAAGTTTGCCAGGAATTCATTCCTGGCAAACTTGTTGCGTTCAATTCAGAGTTCTAAGTAAAAGGCAATATTTCATTCAAATGAACAAGAACAACAGTGTAAGCAGATCAATGACGACTTTTCCGGAAATTTTGAAAATGATTTAGCACTGAGGATGCAATGTTTAGGGTGCAGGAGGAGTTGTATTCTCGGCTCAACGGAGGTGGGGTGGCTGCGGCAAAGTTTTGTGACTTGTCTAAAGCTTTTTGAAAAAACAAATATTGTAAGCTTTAAATGTGACTTGGAGGGCTTAGTTATTGGGGATACTATTGTTGAAAGTCGCCCTGATACCAAGTTTCTTGGACTTGTTATGGACAGGGAACTAAGGTTTGAGTCACAAATTGTTAGTCTGGGCAGAAAAATAGTATCAGTTAGAGTTACCGTTAATGAACTGGGCTCCTCAATGAGACGAACCATCTATTACGCACCTATTGAATCACGTCTTAGACATGGTATATGCTTCTGGGGAATGTCAAACTTACATCTGCTAAATACATTATTTGTTTTACAAAAGCGAGCAGTAAGATATATATGTCATGCAAGGCCGAGAGATTCGTGCAAACCTCTATATTTGAACCAACGAATCCTGACTCTCTACAGTCTGTTTATTTTGGAAACCGTGTGTATTGTCTACAAAAACCGTCAGAGTTTTTCACCCCGCAGTTCACACTACAATACGCGCCAGTACCTCAGTTTGCCATTGCCCATTCCTACATCAACTTTAACCAAAAAAACGGTTATATATGAAAGTATCAAAATGCACAATTACTTACCCAATGAGGTGAAGATGCTTCCTACAATGGAACAATTTAAAAGAAGAGTTCGGCAGATTTTAATTGGTAAGGCCTATTATAGTGTGGACGAATTTTATAATGATTTTATTTGACATGTAGCATTCTGCGTATTTTGTTTTCTGTATTTTATTTAATTGTTTATATCTTGTCAGGACCTAGTCATGTATTTTTGTTTTGTTCAGTATATTATAATTTACACATTATACTTAATTTTTGCAGCTCTATTTACCATTTTGTTTGTTAGTCCTGATTTTTATTTTTATCCAACAAATGACAGTTATGACTGTTATTATTAATGTCATTTTAGGCAAGTAAACTATCAAATAACACACTAGTGTCTTATAATCAATAACTCACTAGTGAGTTATGGACTATAACTCACGTTCATATTTGTAGATTTGTAGATTTCGGGGGACGAAGGAAGCTATTTTCCTGGGTGTCAGTTGGCCCACTTCTGGTGACAATGTTGCCCCCTCGAGGAATTTGAGCCTCTTGCAGAATTGGGCTGGGCATTCGCAGAGCAGGTGCTCTGCGGATTCTATTGCGTCTGAGCAGAATCTGCAGAGATCGTCTTCTGCTCTGCCCATTAACCTTGAATTGTATTTTACTGGGCAGTGTCCTGTGAGCAGTCCCACCACCAATCTGATGTCTGGTCTGCTCATGTTTAGGAGCTGTTCAGCTCTTTTTGCTGAAAGGGTAATAAACTTTTTTGACTGTCTGAGTCCCGGTGTGTGCCTCCAGTATGATGACAGTTGGTCTTTGTCCCATTTGTTGAGTTCTTCCTTGATGTGGCTTTTCATTAAGCCACAGTAGGGCTCTGGTCCACGTTCATATTTAAAGTAGTAGTAGTAGTATTCTATTTATTTATCACTATTACAGGCAGAATTCACATTGATATTGAAATTAAAGGCAAACGCTAACGGTCTATTCGAATTTTAAGTCATTGTAAAATTCATTGGTTCTAGGGCTTCGCGAGAACACTAGACTAGGCTAAATCTTCTCGAGACCAAGACCAAGACTTGACGTTCAAGACCAAGACCAAGACTCTCTCTCGAGACTCTCGTCTTGGTCTTGGTCTTGATCTTGTTAGAGTAGAAATACAACATAGTGTAGATAACATTTATTTACACAGAACACAAATCATACAAAAAAAAATCTAGGAGCAAAAATGAACAAACCCCACATCTCACCCAAACTAACCCAAATCTTATTATTGTGAATAGGCCAATACAATTCAGATGAGCTCTGTGAATATGTGAGAGTTCTCGAAAACCTTTCTCTGGCCTGCCTGAATGATCAGGTAGGTAAGGTAGGTTTATATTCTTATGGTTAAATAGAAATCAATTTTTCCCTCGGTACAGAATGGCAATTTTATGGCGTGTTTGTGAACTTTCCTGTTCCGTTAATACAAATTCTAATCAAAGAATTGATGTTTGTTTGTTGCTCTGTGTTGTGGAATGTTTTATGCGGTATTTTTTAACATGAAACGCTCTTACTGGTAAAAATACAGTGTGAAGAAGACCAAATGTATGGTCGAAACATCGGCATAATATTTTCAGAAAGGGAGTTTATTTTTTTATTTCTTAAGTCCTAAACCCATTATCTTTGCTCTGTTGTTGTATGTTATGTATATTTTAAAAATTTGGTATAAATTTTTTTCAAGACTATCAAGACCAAGACCTTTGCCAAGACCAAGAGCGCATTTATTTTTCGAGACCAAAACCAAGACTGGCCAGTGGTTAGGAATTGATTAAAAATGTATCGGAATTTCTTGATTTATGAAAACTTAACAAAAAAAACTCAAATGGAATTTATATGTCCTTGTCACTCAATGAATGGGTGATATACCTTAATTCCTATGATTTTTTATCTTTCCTTATGGAATTGTAATTTTTCCGCGAAAACGAAGCGAGATAATTGAAAAATTTAAGAGACAAAAATGTTGTATTTTTAGTGTGTCTATCTGAATAATCAATAAAAATCGTACAAAAACTACAGAGTGATATTTTTTCTGCACAAAAACAACCGACTTGGTCGCTGGGTACGCCCCTGGGAATTCTGGATCAAATCTAATTGATCCAGTACATGTCTGATAATGGTTGAAATAAACCGTGAAAATTTCATTGAAATCGTCCAAAGCTTTTTTGTACTATTAATAAATAAAAATTTTTTTTTTGAAAAACGTATCACCCTGTATCTTGGAAACAAAGCCCTTGAAGTTTGTAACGCCATTTCTGAAATACCCTGTATATAAAGTATATGATAAGGGACAAGAGGAAGATAGCATTCTCACAGCTGTGGACTCGAATCAACCTATGCTCAAACAAATTATATGTGTAATGCTGATCTCCATTCAACTCCATGTTCCATGGATAAAATCACTAGCGACATCTTGTCGAATCACCTACAAGCTTGAATAAAATATAAACTCGTTTCGAAAATCAATACGCAACCAACCACCACATGAAGCAGCATTATTCCTGCAAACTCCAACTTTTGCACTAAATCTATAAAAGACTGGACAGTCAATATTTAGGTTTATGCAAACGTATTTTTCATGGAGCCTCTCCTTGTTTGCCATAACTTTTCCTGGACAATCAACTCTTCATGTTCCATTTGGGATTTCGGGAAATTTAATGGAAACTCCGGAAAGCCCTTTTCCCAAGGGAGTTTCCATGAAAAGGATTTCTGCTATGAGGAAAACAGGATGTAGCAAGAGGTATATTGGTGGACATAATGGATAGAAAATCTTGACGCTTTCCAGAAGTTTAATAGAGTTTGAAAAATGTATAAGCAAATCTAATTAGATAAATATGTATTAAATATTTATTTAAATATAATACGGAGTTGTATTTAGGTATTTGATTAAATACCTGATATAAGTAGTCTATATACATTAGGGATAAGGAACTATTGATTATTAGATATCACCCTCGCATCGATTTTCTCGCCCCCTTTAACAAGCAAACCCACCCGCAATTCACGAACCTCTTTCCCATTCTACATTCCTGATTAAATATCCAGAGACATGGAGATTTCTTTGTTCTTCGCGGATCGGAAAACGGGATATCCTTTGTTTCCTGGATTAATCATCCATTAATCAATTGTTGCCAATACCCAAACAACGTTATGTTTTCCTGTTACGTATGCCAGAAAATGGAAACTCCTTCCGCCATATAGGTCCGGGGACTTTTCCTGGAAAACTTCCACGATACTGAATAAGGTGTGTTTGTTTAGATTGGAATAAACTACATATCAAAATATGATTTTTGTGTTTTGTTTTTATTATCACATATTACAAAAATGTTAATCAATTGTTTGAATCACCAACGTTTCGTGAACACTTCTTTGCATCTTCAGGGCCCTAATAACAAGCCAGACTCTTGTAGACAAACAAAAGTCCATGATACAAACAGGCCATTTTCTTGAAGTAAATATGTACGGAGTTGGAGAAAATTTAATAGTTTTTAGTTTGAAATCAACAATGTGCAGTTTGTTGTTTCTTTAAACTTATTCTTTGTTTCTCAAAATCCAAGGTTTGGCAACCAGTAAAACATATCGCGGCTTGTATATTGATCTCCATTCTATATTTTCTGGATCGCAATGCCGCGATTACCATACAATATCCAGTGTTCCCTGCCAATTTTAGGACTTGTTTATTTACTTATTTTCAAGTTAAGTTTGTGTCGCATGCAGTAGATAGTTGTGGGTACATGAAAAGTTAGCAGCAGAGATAAATAGAAACAAAAATCAGGTGAGAATATTAAAGTTTTAGTTCAATCGTTGTGTAAATTTAATCAGTTTACAAGCTGTATTAATAGATACCTATAATTACTTGAAATCCTATTATTATAACAGTTTATTTATGGTTGACCTTGCATGTTTTGTTTAATATTTTGATAATCGGGTCAATGTTGTTCTAATTTAAAGTGGATCCATCTTTGGACAAACCCTGGATGTACATTCTAATCGATCTTACCCATGAAGCGATGAGATTCTCAGTTCTCAGTAATAATATTTCCCTTATTTTGTACATAGAGAAGCATGTAATGTTCGGTCATCAACTCTTTCTTAAGGTCAACTGATTCCTGGAACAATAATTTATCTCTGTTCAAGACAATGACATGAAAATTGCGACAAAACTAACCAAGTTACATCTGCATATATCGAGTTTCAGCCTCTTCCGACTTATCGGGGGGGAATTAAATCGCGTACCCCAATTTTAAAAGTTTCGAATTTTGAAAAATACATAAGACCATCGTATAGAGGAGCAAAAAATAAGTCGAAAAGCTCATATGACATTCTTATCTCCGACGCATTTTAGAGCTGGAAAAAAACTAAAAAAGAGAATTACAATTTTGGCGAGAAGAAAATTTCAGGGACCCGACACAGGTTTCCTTCAAAAAAGGAATAAATTACCTACAAAATGGTTTTTTATTGATATTCCAAGTCGTTTTCGTCTCTGAGATATGAGCCGTTCAAGTTGAAATTTCTTTAAACATTTATTGAAAACTTCGAAGTCGATTTTCTCGAAAACGGTATCCCGTGGAGGGGTAACTCTTATGAGCTTTTTTGTGGCTCTCGGCGAGATCTATAAGTTTTGCATGAAAAATTTTCCTCTCAGACTTATCGTTTTTGAGCTACGACGCTTTGATTACAATTACAATTTTACAAAACTTTATTTAACTGCAATCAAGCTTAACTGATCACAAAACTAAATCACAACTCGCTGTTTTACTATCGTCTTGCGTTCAATATTATTTCTGAATTACCCTATATTTCAATATAGGTTTGCAAGAAATTCATTCCTGGCAAACTTGTTGCGTTCAGAGTTCTAAGTAAAAGCCAAAAGGCTATATTTCATTCAAGTGAATAAGAACAGCAGTGTAAGTAGATTGTTCAATAACGACTTTTTCGAAAATGTGGAAAATAATTTAATAAATAAATACTGTACAAAATTATCGTAATATATCTAATATTACATATAACATAACTACAATTTAGGCTTACGCAAATATATAAAGCCTATGATTAGGGTCAAGAGGATATCGATTATAACCACCCTCGTAATTTTTATTGATTATCTCGTACCCTTGTATAAACGATCCCCAATTCACCAACCTCCTTCCAATTTTATATTCCTGATAAAATATCCAGAAACATGGAGATTTTCTTTGTTCTTCGTTGATTCAAAAACGGGATATAGCCTCTAGAATAACTATTCCAGTTGCTCCAGATTATTGTAAATACTTGAACAATGTTATGTTTTCCTGTCAAGTGTGCCAGAAAATGGAAACTCCTTCCGCTAGGCAGATACGTTGAAAAAGCATGACTTCTTGAAAAAGTTGTGCAACTAGTCCAAACCTACCGATAAGAGACGTGTCACGTGTCATTTTATTCCACGGGGTGCCAACACCCCTCATATCACCCCGACTTAATCCGGTGTGACTTACACATGTTTAGGACCCCCTTAATAGAGAAGTTGTGGGAAAGGGCTTTGTGTGCAATTGGCTCGCGGTACGCCCCTTTTTGTTTCAAAGAGAGTCGGATCCCAGAGATGTGGTGATACTAAATTACCTTTAGAAATTAGGCTTTAGTAAACACAAGAATTATACATGGCATTCAAAAATGAGGAACAACTAATGAAATGATAAAAAGGTAAACAAAACTATATACCTAGAGAAGGTATCACAGTACCACATTCTCCCCAGGTTTATTTACCACAAAATCTTCAAGATATTTGGGAGATTTTCTAGTTCTTGATCCACGAGACATCTGGTATTCTAATTGCGTGGCTCACCTTGACTAGATTGACGCTGGTTTATTGTCTCACTATAATTTTCTTGTTCAATGTCTCGCATTTGTTCTGTGGGAATTGTAAAAGATCTTTACTTTCTTCTGACTGAGTAGGCGTATTTATAACATGGTTATCAGCATTATTTTCGAATTGCTGTAGACTATCATCACCACATAAAGCTAACTTTTGTAGCCAAACCAGGTCTAACATGCTTTTTCATATAAATTTTTCCAGAAGTTAGCCATTAGGGTGTTGCTGTACCATTCATTGATTTTCTTGAATGACGGAACATTTTTTCATGTAGAGTATAATTAGAAGGTAGTTTAGTTTATGAAAATGCCTTTGGTACTTCCACAGAAATGACTTTTGTGTACTTTCACAGCAGCAGAAATAAGGCTTCATAAAGATATTTGGGTCTTCAAGTGTTTCCCTACTTTCAGATTGAATTGACATAATGACATCTTGAGATATGCTATATGTTTCTGAGTGTTTTTGTGCCGATCCTAGAGATAGAACTTCATCAGGCTTCAGACTGATATATTCTCCAATAATTGTCGAATTTGGGAAGAGCTTAAGCCACTAATGGAAAAATCTCCAATTTTGTCATTTGATTTTCGTTAGAGCTGACAGATTTGAAGTTGCAGTCTTTATTTATAGATGTTTAAGTGCTTATACTGGTCAGCGGTCTTCCTGGAGGTAAGGCAGTGTCTGGTAAATATTTATTTAATTTTTAGACTTAATGAAAATTGAATCCAAAATCTCATTAGCTTCTGGAACAAGAGGAACAGCAGGATATGTGCTCGTAGTTGTTGTGACTTACATAATTCACCAAGAGTTTTAGTTTTCTATCATATTCTAGCTTATCAACGGATGATATGAAATTGTTGAAAGTTGCTTTCCAGTGAGATCTGTGCTCTCATTTGACTATCAAATGCTTATGTCAATGTCATAAGTACCTCAATGCTTTTGTCATTGATCACAGTCATTGATTATTAAACACAACTATCTATAAATAAACTGAAAACTTCGTTCTTTATTGTAGAAAATGCACTACCTATTTCCATTTCTCCATGAATTTACTTTAGAATAAAGTCTTCCCAAAGGATCAACGGAAAAGTGAATGGAAACTAAAACACATGTGAAAATCATCACTTCGACTGACTGATATTACGTTTTTAATTTTAGTTTTATTCCCTCATCTATATGACTCTTGGATTATTTGAAGATGTCATCCCTAATGCATGCATTCTTCGGTACTGAACTAACATACATACCCAGCGGAATGCAAAAACTCCTAGGACCTAACTTCAACAATGCCTTGTGCAATGGAATTACCTGGCTGGTGATTTTTTGGCTAACTCTACATTTTGCCTACGACAGATTAATCAGTGTAAGTAAAAACAATCTTCATATTTTTTGAATAACATTTAATTTCAGATCTACCTAAAACAACTAGGATTTTCCCAATACTTACGAGTCCGTCTAAGTCATAGCCTGTGGTTACTAGCTTGCTACTTTTCATTTTGCATCTACTACGTAATAACAATAAACGAATATAATACTGGAGACTTGATGTACTATAGAAGAACCATTGCAATCCATTATGGAGTTATTTCAGACAGGCAAAAGATTGGTCAAGCTGTGATATGTTCTTTTTACTTGTGTATGGCTTACAGAGAAGGTACACAAATGGGATATTGCCATTTTTTCAAGCATGTTGCTTTGACTATAGCTTGTACTACAGCGTTCATTTTAAGGTACCTTCATACTATTAGCTAAGTAGGACTTTTAAATAACCATTTCTTTAGGTTTTTAGAAATACCATTCACAATTACAGCTCTAATAGCAGTTTCTGGAATATTTCAAGAATTATCTAAAATGTTCTACTCGCTATTGAACAAAGATAATATTATTTGTAATGTTGTTATTGGGTCACTTTACATTTCAGCCGTTATAATTTTGTAAGTTGATACAATTTTGCATTTAGGAAACTTTACATTGAATTTTTAGCTGTGCTGTATATTTCACCATTATCCCCTTATCATATTTAATACCAATGGGTATGAAACTATTCAGTAGAGAACGAAACCCGGTAATACTTACGCTATTTCTTTCTCTATTATGTTGGATTAATTTGCTCATATACAAATCGGTAAAGCAATCAAGAAATAAATCATAAGTCATATAAATTAAATATTATTCTAGATATTCCTTAATGCAATTTTCCATTGGTTATACCACATTAAAGAAGACAAACATGACGAAAAGGAAAAGGAAACACGACCAATCCAACTGGAGTGTCATGGAAATATTGTTGAATGCTCGTTATTTCCTCCAAGAACTGATGAGAGCTTTATGCTAGCTCTTATGAGATCTGAAGCTAGAAAAAGACAGAGAAAGTTAGTTGAACTTGAAATAAAGTTATTACACGTAAAAGTATTTAGAAATACCGAAATATGTAATACCAATATGTAATGCTCAATTAGATTTAATTATATTTTTTAAGGATGATTGCTTTAAGGAAACCGAAAAATAGAACTTTCATGATACAAACGATCAAATGTAAGATATTATTTTTTTTTTTTTCTTCGAATTATCATTTGTTGTTTTGAAGGTATGATGACACTACATAAAACCTTATCCAAGAAAAAATCAACGAGTGCAGCTAATACACAAGAGAAAGTAACATCAGCAAGCCAAATACTCGAGAAACAACAAGCAACAGATAATAAAGAGGAAAGATTTTTACTTCCGGTGAAAAAAACTCAGAAAATGTTTAAACTTTCTGAAGAAGAAACTTTAATGAAAGTTGAAAATCTTGAAACACAGGATAACGCAGAAGAAGAAGAAAGTGAAATTAAAACTGTAGAAGCAAACAATAGAGATGAGGAAAGTTGTGGTAGAGGAATTATCGAAGATTCTCCTAGTAAGGAAAAACCTACTCAAATTATGCAATCTGCAATGGGTAAAGATTCTCAAGCCACGCAATTGAATGTCGACGAAAATATAAGTTCTATTAGAAAATGCCCCGCCAAAAAGAAATGTATTCAAATTAAATTAGATAGAGCTGCTGCAACTGAGGGCCCTAGAAATGTTGCTTGTCTATGCAGACAATTAACTAAAGATAAAGATGAAGGAGAAGGAAATGGTAAAAATTAAATGTAATCCATAGATCTTAGTGTAGGTAATTTATTGAATTAGAAAATTGATGGAGATAAAGACTGTTTGGGATTTGACTGATGGCATTCATAGTGCGAAATATGATAAAAGATTCGAGCTTTTTGAGATTGTTTAGTCATATGTATATTACTATAATAAAATAAAGTTTGAGTTAGTTGTATTATGTGTATTTTCATTTGTATTAGATAATTTCTAAATTCAATAAAACTGGAAGCCACTTTCAATCAATTTTATCAGCTTTTATATAACTGTATATCTAGATGACGCTATGGTATTTCCATTGATCGAGTTTGCCATTATACTTCCTGTCAACTCCTGAATTCCTGTTGACTGAAAGCTGTATCATGGAAACTCGCCAAAGAAACTTTGCCTAAAGGAAAATTTACTGTACCTAGGTAGGTGGGATACCTACATGGAAAAACTATTGGACATATTAATATTTTTTGTGGTATTGATAAATATATGTATTCCACAGTGTCCACTATCATAGATGACGATATCTAAAACCAGCCTTCCATGCAACCTTGTAAATTTCCTGTTATCCTGCTACCAGAAATCCTTATCATGGAAACTCCTGAAGGAAAAGGGTTTTATATAGTTGTAGCTGTTCCAGCAACTGGAACCTTTGCACTATTATTAGAAACTTCATTGCTAACAGCATGAAGCTGACGTTGGATGAAAATTGCTTTGCTAGCTACAGCTTCGCTTCCAAAGTTTTCCGGAGTTCCAGTTTCAGCTAATTTTCAGCAGGAAATCAGAAGCTTGAACAAGTTATTATTCGCCTGCTTTATTGCAGGCAGAAAAATTCAATAATAGCAGGCAACAGGTTTGTATGCGATAGAGGGTGATAAGCGCATATTATGTAAGTATATAAAATAGCAGATGTTAAATATTGTTTATTTAGTAGTCAGAGTCCTAAACCAAACATTCTGGAATATAACATTTTTAGTACTTAGAGGCCAAAATAATTAACATTTTACTTACCCAAACATATAAGCAAACATTATAATGCAAGTCAAAGCAATTACTGTTAACAACGATGATAGAACATACTTTTCATTTGCCCTCCCATACTTCTATTCTTAGAATACATATATCTCTCAAGATTGCTAAGCATTCTTTGTGTTCGCCTTTTGCCAGGAAATATTCAGGACTCTCGGGCGTTTTTTCTAGAATGGCTAGGGTGATGAGGAATAATTTCCACAGGCAGAAAAATATAATTTTTCCTAAGGAAAAACTGAGTATTAACCATCAGGATTCCATATACCAACCTTATAAATTTCCTCTAATCCTGTTACTAGCAATCCTTATCATGGAAACTCTTCAAGGAAAAGGATATTGCTAGCAGTTGATAGTGTTAAGTATGTAGCTGTAACTTTTCCAGCGAATGGAAACTTTGCACTATTATTAGAAACTCCATTGCATGAGCCGAAACTGCCGTTTGACGGAAAATCCTTTTCTAGTTACAGCTTCGCTTCCAAAGTTTTCCGAAGTTCCAGTTTCAGTTAATTTTCAGTAGGAAATCAGAAGCTTAAACAAACAAGCAATTCTTCTCCTGCTTTATCGCAGGCGGAAAAATCAATTGTAGGAGGCAACAGGTTTGTTTGCAATAGGGAGGGTGACAAGCGCATGAAAGTATAAGTATATAAAATAGCAGATGTTAAATATTGTTTATTTAGCAGTTTGATTCATTATTATGACAGCTTCTTCATCAATTTTAGTCTTTTGATAGTTTCGAAAGTACAATTACTTTCAAAGAATGACGATATGACAACAATGCAATGACTTGTTTCCATGTATTTGAATCGGAATTCGATCCTTGTTTATATTATATAAAATCCTCATACAACATTTCCTTACAAGTAAATTTTTTATTATTTATAAAAATAAATAAAACTACAACACTTTAAATATGCTCAAAAGTTCATCTCAATTTCACGTCGTACGCTAAAATTACTGCCACTTCAATATCATGCGACATACGGAAACTTGCTGGTGCTTCTTTATGTCGTCTTGGTACTGAGGAACATAAGAAACCTAGAAGTACCTATTACAGCTCCTACTACGAAAATTGGTATTTCGCACTGGGTATCCATATAATAACCGAACAAAAAGCTGCTGGCTACAGCTCCAAAATGTCCCGAACACATAATTAAACTCAAAGCTATGCCAACAACTTTAGTAGGAAACAGCTCAATAGCTATAATACCGATTGTCATATTTGCAGTAATCATACTAGCTTGGAATAAACTAGCTACAACTAAATTTTGCAGGCAGCTATTTGAAAAGTATATGCTGGCACAAACAGCACCGCCAATTAACATCGTTACTAGTGGAACAACTTTGAAATGTACCGTAGTGTCGGTATACTTTGCCACGGTTTTCAGACCTTTTCTCTGATATTTTTTTAACCGATATAGCAATTTGAATGGCTACAGACTATGTATAAATTCCATGTTCTGGCTATAGATCCCTGTAAACACAAACAATTAGAAAGCACTGCTTCTATTTATTTTTTTTTTGTTAAAAATCTGGCAAAGTCTCCTACAAATTGGTGACACTTTGCCAACGCGTTTAAAACCACCTAAATCTAAATGTAAGACTATTATATGGGTTAGTTTGCGTTCAAATATGATTTTAAAAAAGGTAGGTAGGTACCATATTTTTTTTCATTGTTGGAAACAAAAAAAATACGTTTTAATATCAAAATATCAAAAAAACTTAAGTCATTGCTTAAAATATTTCGCACTGCTTTTTTTACAGTATCTTTATTATAGTTTTTGTAGTGCCGGCTGTCTATTTTTTTTTGTAGATTCGACCCATATTTTGATTTAAAAAACCAAAATCGGTAAGAAATATATAAGGCAAAGACACCTACGAGTGGCTTGCAAGGTCACACTTTTTTTTTAAATAAATTAAAATCTCAAAAACCATTATTTTTTAATACTTCAAAATTTCACAATCATTAGCCATTGAAGTGTATATTTTGGCAAAAGGATTTATTTTGGGTTAATCGTATTCATATAGGTGTCACAAGTCTTACTATTTTAGGAATTAAAAATCGTAAAATTCTTAGCTTATATGCAGCACGTGTTCACTAGCACTATAGCGCAGCAATCGCAAGTCTGACTATATTTGCAACAAGTTAACCACGTTTTCTTTAATAGTTCCTACAACTTCCACTAAGTTTCTGCCATTGGAGTTACAAAAAATATTGTTACAAAAAAAAAAGTCAACTCTGGCAAAGTCACCTTGGATGGCAAAGTATACCGACACTACGGTACCTTAGTTGCTAGGATAGCACAAATTAAATTAAACACCAATGAGCTAGTAGCTATTACAACAGTGTTATAAGTTACTGAGGCAACAAAGGTAGCTTCGCAAGTAACGTTTTTTGATTGGACTAAACTTGAGAGTTCCGATATGGATGGAGTGGCATTGGGATAGAGTTTTTCGATTTGGTCAAAGCGCACGAAGATTTCTGGAAGCCAGAGTCCTAAACCAAACATTCTTGAATATAACATTTTAGTACTTAAACACCCAAACATATTAGCAAACATTAGGATGCAAGTCAAAGCAGTTACTGTTAACGAAGATTGCTGGAACATACTCTTCATTTGTCCTCCCATGGTTCTGAGTACCCTCAAAGTTTTCCTATCGCATGCTACGTTATTTGATGTATCCATTTTAACATCTGATATCAAATTCTTCACTGGAAAATCATCAGGATGATCTCCGGTATTTTCAGAATACATATATCTCAAGATCGCTAAGCATTCTTTGTGTTCTCCTTTTGCCAGGAAAAATTTGGGCATTTTTAGTATCCACAAGGCAGTTAATAGTTCTGGAATAGCTAGGATGATGAGGAATAATCTGCACGGGCAGAAACATATAATATTTCCCAAGGAAACACTGAGGAAGTATTAACCAGGATTCCATACGAACCTTATAAATTTCCTCTAATCCTGCTATTAGAAATCCTTATCATGGAAACTTCTCAAGGAAAAGGGTTTTGCTAGCAGTTGATGATGTAAGGTATATGGCTGTAATTTTTCCAGCAAATTGAAACTTTGCACTATTATTAGAAACTCTATTGCATGAATTGAAGCTGATGTTTGACGGAAACTCCTGTTCTAGCTACAGCTTCGCTTTCAAAGTTCTCCAAACTTCCAGTTTCAGCTAATTTTCAGCAGGAAATCAGAAGCTTGAACAAGCAATTCTTCTCCTGCTTTATTGCAGGAGGAAAAATCAATTGTAGGAGGCAACAGCTGTTTGTTGGCAATATGGAGGGTGATAAGCGCATGTAAGTATAAGTATATAAAATAGCAGATGGTAAATATTGTTTATTCAGCAGTTTAATTCATTATTATGAAAGCTTCTTCATCAATTCTAGTGTTTTGATAGTTTCGAAAGTAGGACTTTCAAAGACCAGAGATATGACAACAATACAATGACTTGTTTCCCATTTATTTAAATCGGAATTCGATCCTAGTTTATTTTATATAAAATCCTCATACAACATTTTCCTACAAGTAAAATTTCTATTATTTATAAAAATAAATAAAACTACAACACTAGTAACACATAAACACAGACATATTATTAAATATTCATAAAAGATCATCTCAGTTTCGCGTCGTACGCTGAAATTACTGCCACTTCAATATCATGCGTCATACAGAATCTTGCTGGTGCTTCTTGAACGCAGAGTCCTAAACCAAACATTCTAGAATATGAAAGGTAAATTTCAATGAAGGCTAAAATAATTGAGATTTCACTTACCCAAACATATTAGCAAACATTATGATGTAAGTCAAAGCAGTTACTGTTAACAACGGTTGCAGGAACATACTCTTCATCAGTGGCGTGTCCAGACTTTAACAGACGGGGAAGCTGTGGGGAAAGATGGTGAAAGTACAGGACAGGAGAGACTCATAATTTCAGAACTAGTCAGCCATTCACAAGTTTCATATATTTCTTTTTGAAAATGTCTACATAAAGTTTAGTTTAGTGTTTTTAATAAATCCTCGAGGGAAAGCTGTGCTTCCCTAGCTTACATGGTAAACACGCCACTGCTCTTCATTTGTCCTCCCATGGTTCTAAGTTTCCTCAAAGTTTTCCCATCGCATGCTACATTGTTAGATGTATCCATTTTAACATCTCATATTAAACTCTTTACTGGAGAATCATCTGGATGATCTCCGGTGTTCTTAGAATACATATGTTTCAAGATCGCTAAACATTCTTTGTGTTCGCCCTTTGCCAGGAAATATTTAGGACTTTCGGGCATTTTTGATATCCACAAGGCAGTTAATAGTTCTGGAATGGCAAGGATGATGAGGAATAATCTCCATAGGCAGAAAAATATATTATTTCCTAAGGAAAAACTGAGGAAGTATTAACCAGGATTCCATACGAACCTTATAAATGTCCTCTAATCCTGCTACTAGAAATCTTTATCATGGAAACTCCTCAAAGAAAAGGGTTTTCCTGGCAGTTGATAGTGTTGGGTATGTAGCTGTAACTTTTCCAGCAAATGGAAACTGCACTATTATTAGAAACTCCATTGCATGTGCCGAAGCTGACGTTTGACGAAAACTCCTTTTCTAGCTACAGCTTCGCTTCCAAAGTTTTCCGAAGTTCCAGTTTCAGTTAATTTTCAACAGGAAATCAGAAGCTTGAACAAGCAATTTATCTCCTGCTTTGTCCCAAGCGGAAAAATCAATTGTAGGAGGCAACAGGTTTGTTTGTAATAGAACGGTAATAGGGAGGGTGATAAGCGCATGTGAGTATAAGTAAATAAAATAGCAGCTGTTAAATATTGTTTGTTTAGCAGTTTAATCCATTATTATGAGAGCTTCTTTATCAATTCTAGTCTTTCGATAGTTTCGAAAGTGCTTTTAAAGACTAGAAAAATGGCAACAATTCCAATTATTTAAATCCGAATCCGATGCTGATTTATATCATATAAAACCTTCACACAATATTTTCTTACGAGTTCTATTTTTGTTATTTATAAAAATAAATAAAACTACAACACTAGTAACACATAAACACAGACATATTTTTAAATATGCACAAAAGTTCATCTCAGTTTCACGTCGTATACGCTGAAATTACTGCCACTTCAATATCATGCGACATACGGAAACTTGCTGGTGCTTCCTTACTTGGTTTTGGTACTAAGAAACATAAGAAACCTCCTAGAAGTACTACAGCTCCTACTACGAAAATTGGTATTTCGCACTGGGTGTCCATATAATAACCGAACAAAAAGCTACTGGCCACAGCTCCAAAACGTCCTGAACACATAATTAAACTCAAGGCTATGCCAACAACTTTGGTAGGAAACAGCTCAACAGCTATACTACCGATTGTCATATTGGCAGTAATCATACTAGCTTAGAATAAACTAGCTACAACTAAATTCTGAAGGGAGCTACTTGAAAAGTATATGCTGGCACTAGCAGCACCGCCAATTAACATCGTTACTAGTGGAACAACTTTAAAATGTACCTTAGTTGCTAGGATAGCACAAATCAAATTAAACACCAATGAACTAGTAGCTATCACAACAGTGTTATAAATTACTGAGGCATCAAAGGTAGCTTCGCAAGTAACGTTTTTTGATTGGACTAAAGTTGAAATATTCCGATATGGATGGAGTGGCATTGGGATATAGTTTTTTGAATTGGTCAAAGCGCACGAAGATTTCTGGAGGCCAGAGTCCCAAACCAAACATTCTAGAATATGAAAGGTAAATTTCAATGAAGGCTAAAATAAGTGAGATTTCACTTACCCAAACATATTAGCAAACATTATGATGCAAGTCAAAGCAGTAACTGTTAACAACGGTTGCTGGAACATACTCTTCATTTGTCAGTCCATAGTTCTGAGTACCCTCAAAGTTTTCCCATCGCATGCTACATTGTTTGATGTATCCATTTTAACATCTGATATTAAATTCTTCACTGGTAAATCATAAGGATGATCTCAGGAATTTTTGAATACCTACCATCCAATAATGGGTAAAACTAAGTTAAACATTTTCTAGTATGGATTGACAAAATTTAACAAAAATCCTGGTTAGTGAGCAAAACAATAGTTATAATATCTATTTTTGAAGTTAAATCAAGTTTTGTGTCGCAACATTTTTTTATTGGTAAAAATAACTTTCAAGCTCTGATTAAGTTGAACAGATTGTAGTTTTATTTGACAATATCATCGGAATTGTTATTCAACATTTTTTTTTTTTAATCAACCCATGTACCTAATTTTTCTGAGTAACCACTTTCAAACAAATAATTTATTATCATTAAAACCTATACCTATGAGTCACACATAATTATGATTTATAATAATTTATGTTATCCGAGACATAGGTACGTGAAACATAATATGAGTCATTTGCATAACATTTTTGTTATTTTTTAGCCATATCTGGGGATTTACATAGAAAACATATTTAACGGTAGGAGAAAAAATTGGTCGGACTTCTAGAGAACCCGGAGGACAGGGACCGGGTGTGGCTGGATAATCCGTCCATTATTATTATAGTAACCGTACCTACATATATACAACGAGTGACCCTATATTAATCTGTAGATATATATTTTAAGGACATTGGTATCGTGTCCAAAGTATAGGTACATATTTGGAAATAAGAAAAATTTTCCAACTATCAGTACAACGAATGTTTTTCCCTATCCCCGGATTCCATTTGGCAAAGACGATTGTCCAGGAAAACGTCCGGGATATTCCAGATTTCCGTACACTTTTATAAGGATAGCATAAATTGAAGGAGATTTTTCAACATGCAGGGCTCAAAGTGTAATCGATAAACGAATTTATTATTCCACCCCTTCCGAGCGTGACACAAACGAACCTGCCTACTAAAGGCGGAAGATTGTGAAATTTGATATGCAGTGCGTGAATAGAATTTACAATTTTAGTTGACAAATAATAAAGAAACCTTTCTATTATGATTATGTTGTAGCGCTACTTTGGTTTTCCGGTAAGAAAGCGGTCGGTTCGGGGTTTTCGGAAAACTCGGGCGCCACCCTTAGGATTAATGTGGTTAAGGGCCCACGGGCACTAGGTAGCTTTTAAACAGTGGAGACGGAAAAACCAGAGGTCGATGCGCATTTTCCCCAAAATGAAACACATAATATCCAACAATGCACTTTTATTAATGCCCAAAGAAATAACAATAGAAAGGAAATGCAAGAAAACCTAATTAAGATGCGGATTTATTGAAATGAAATGCTTAACCCGGAGGGAGAGAGTGTGTGAACGAGTATGAGAGAGAGACGGAGTGATATGCGTGACGGTGCTGGGCTGGTATAGCGCGGCGGTAAAGATGGCGGTGCGGTACGGTGCGGTAGAAATGACGGTGCGGTAAAAATGACGGTGCGGTAAACAATGACGGTGCGGTGAAAATGACGGTGCGGTAAACAATGACGGTGCGGTGAAAATGACGGTGCGGTAAACAATGACGGTGCGGTGAAACAGGCAAGAAGCTCCGGAATTATGGTTTGTACGGTCCGACTCTTACCGGCGTCAGCAACTCGGATCAGCGCCCTATGGCGCATGCGTGAATTTAACAATAGGCAGAAAGCAGGTCCCCGTGGAATATGAAGTCAGAAGAAGTGTGAGACAAAGAGTGCCGCCCTGTACGTGTTCCAGCCCGTGGCCCCCTTTTGTCTTCCCATAGAGGAAACAAAACCACCCAGTACGTGTTCCCACCCGTGGTTTCGTTTCCTCTATCCACCAATCGAGACAGAAGAGTGCTACCCTGTACGTATTCCAGCCCGTAGCCCCCTTAGGTCTTTCACTACAAGAACAGAGCTACCCAGTACGTGTTCCCACCCGTAGTTCCGTTCTTGCAGTGTGAGAGAGAGAGAGAGAATACCTGCCTTCTTACCCATACCTATTACTTACTGAGCCTTCATCTGGCGTCGCGACGGTGCTGACGTCGGCAAGCGGCGGCGGCGGCGGCGGCGGATAAAACGGACTTACATTGCTTGTAGCTGGCGGCTGGTGCTGGTCGGTAGGTCTGGTCGGAATCGGAGCTCGGAGAGAAGTGGCCGACTGCAGTGTGTGCTGCCGTATAAATAATCGGGAGGCGCCGCGTCACGTCGTCGTCAGACGGCAGCGCAGATACCAGCGGTGGGGAATCGAGTTTTTGAAACGCGGCGCGCACGTCGGTTTATACTGGAGAGTGCTTTGCATTCGAGGTCACGCGTCGACACAACATATCGGTACGGAATTAATTTAATTAACGGAAACGCGGATAAAACAATAAAAATTTAGTAACCTACGTTACAATGTAGGTATTTTAAATTGTTGGACCAAAACTTCTTCTTTGCTAAAAGTTTTTCTTCCATCTAACATCTAACTGAAATTGATTAGCAAATATTTACAGGGTGGTGAAACGCATTTCCATTATGCCCAGAAGCTGTTATTCCACTCTCTACATAAACTAATTTCGAATTCGCGAGCCGCAGAGTTTTTTTTTAGTCGTCATGGTCCAGTTAATTTATTCGCAAATTGGGTATTCAACCAGGAATTTCTCTTTATTTTAGGCTGTCCCTACTGTGGCTACTGGGATTCTACAATGAATAATCCAAAGGAGATTATCGATAGCTCCATGGAGCGAACTAAAACTACTCAGTACTCACAGTACCTTGACTTAGCTACTCGTTGTGAATACGGTTATTGGGTTCTTCATCATAAATCCTAATACCTATTTATCAGGATAGAAATCTCAAAACCAAGTTTTCTTTGGAAATATATTCTCCATCTTCCTGCAGCTTGGAGGAAATAGAGCCTCAATTCATTTTTATAGAAACTAAAGCCTCCGCAAAATTGGTCTTTCATTTACCCATATGTCTTAGATTTTAATAAGCAAGTCTTCCTTATGAAACAACCTAGGGATGAATCTTAATTGGCTCTGTCTATAAATCAAATAATATGTAGTAATAAGTATATGTATGCAGTTTCTTTATTAAGGAAACATGGCTATAAGTCAAGTCACTGATTATCTTGCAATTCTGGAACAACACATGTCCAGGAGATTTCTTAGATTTTATAATTAATTCTACTATTAAGTATCTTTAGATTTTATTATTGAAAATAAAGATGTATTGTATTTTGTAAAATAGTGAAAGGAAACTGATGAGAGCTCATTTGATTCCATAAATTTCCATTAGCTATAAGGTACTTTATATTTGCGTGAATTGAATTTGAATAAGTACCTATAGAGACAAATGTATAATAAGGACAACATTTCAACATTATTTATTATATTTACATAAATAATTTACATTTCTCTTATTATATTAAATAGGTATACCTACTTTTCATTATCACCCATTATTATTTTTCCCTCTGTATTTGACAAATAAGACCCTTCCCTATATTACCCTTGCGTTTCGTGGGCGGAGTCGATTAGCACCCTTTAGTAATTTCAAGAGGGGTTTCCCTTAAATAAATAGAAATGCACCGCATTTAATATAACACGCACTTTCTGCAATCCTAGTAGCTGAGAACGGAAAACTGGAATATTCCCGGTTCATATTCTGGAATCGGGATATACCGAATCCACAATTCCACTTATTGCGGATAATAACTATTATTCTATAGGCAAAACTCATGGAGAAATTTATTAAGAGAGGGCATATTATGTAGAAGATTCTCAACTCCTCTTATGCTTCCCTGATCTCTCTGACAAGGAATCTCTGGAATATCCTGAATAATATACTGAATGAGCCAATAATATACCTTGTGTAATTGATAGGAATGTACCTATTGCAGCTTTTATGCATTCAATTATAACGTTTGCACTTTACTATTCCTAATAACAAGTATTTATCTTTTTTCTTTACTCATTTATGTTATGTTAATCTTGAATATACCCATCTTAAGTAACAACCTGGATGTGCTCCAATGTTATTCCATAACTAAGTACATAGGTATAGGTAATGTGATTTTGTTAATGTATATTCGAAATACAATAATACCAAATAAATTTATTTATTTATTTACGGTGTAAATATTAGTAGTGGAAAAAACAAATCTAATACCTAGCCTTTTTTGACACAGTATTGGTAATATGGCCATTAAATGACATCTTGGAGTCAAATTCCTCTCTCGAATCTCGAATGCTTATGCTACTTTCCTGATTGATGTGTTATTAATTGTGTGAGGGAATTTCACCGTTAGAGCTAACCTGGAAAAAGTTATTTTATAACATTTGGCAATATTATTAGGTCCATTTCGTTCGATCCACAGCATTCCAACGATGATACCTGACGATAAAGTTCAAGATCATCTGCAAATGTATAAATGAGCTGTGTGCAATGGAACTTCCCACATCGGATATGAACAGATTGGACAGGATTGGCCCATAGTGAACGAAGGAACATCAAACAAGAAAGTCAGCAAGCCAACTCAAAATTGGACCTCTCACTCCCAAATAATTAAGCTTCCTAATGAGCAGACGATGGTTAACCCTGTCAAAGGCTTAAGAGAAGTCCGAGTATACAGAATCAACCTGGAACTCCTTTTCCATGCTGTTCAAAATAAAATTCTAATACAGATTAATAAGGGGAGATAAGAATTCCATCAGTATCTGGAACCTTATATACTGGTATCCAGACTTCTTAATCGGGATTCACCATTAATGGGTGAAGCATTGACAATAACTTCACCCAAAGGATCATCGTGATGGTTGGTGTTTGGAAAATGATTCAAAGATATTCTCTAGTGATGATCTACTATTTTTGGTAGGTATTCCTCTATCATACCTAAAGTGTATTATGTTACCTGGAATAGCCAATGTTTCAATGTTCTTTTTTGTCTTCGGAGTGTGATCAGACTGGTATTTGATGATATTTATCTAGTGCAATTGCAAGAAGTATATATACCTACTTCCTACTTGAAAACCCAATACAAAGATTTCCGAATTCCAGCACACATCAAAATTATTGGCCAAGGCTGAAGTAAACTACAGATTTTTAATTTAGAATTACATTAATAAAATATCTCTAAAAATATAATGGAGGAATAAAAAAAAAAATCAAGGAAATAAGGGTCTGCAAATAACATTGTTGGAGTGTTCAAGGACCGCATTTATCATTTTCCTAATCTATTAAAGGGTTCAATATTTGCTTTTCCTTCTTTATACCAGACGAAATAGGAAAAAAAGGCCGAGAATAAGTTGCAGAAAAAATGTAATCATTATTTCAATCCAACACTTTATAATTGGTCCCTTTACAATAATTATTATATGAATCCCAAATTATCTAGGGCTGTCTTATGCGAACCCAGGATTTAAAAAAAAACATTAATTAGGATCTCATCAGACCACCCTATAGGGCGTAGGCACATTTTTCTTAGAAGTTTACTCTTGCCTGATGGCATAATAAGGATAAAGTCAAATACCTGCCATTTACCCCTAACAGAACCAAGGGTGAAGGCGTTTAATGTTTTACAATTTTCTTTTGTTTGATTACTTATTTTATAAACAAGGTGTGACTATCTTATAAAACAAAACGTTTGACGAAATTAAAATAAGGATTAGGATTTAGAAAAGTTGGTGATATAGTGAAGGGAACATCATGATAGAGAAAATTCAATATAGCGAAATTGCTGATTTTGATAGAGCCATTTTATTAACTGGTAAGTTAATGATGCATATGTAATTGAGAGATGTAATTGAGAATAAATGCACATTGTATCACTCTATATGATGTGCCCAGTCTATATTAGGAATGTACATAGTAATACTTTCTTCCAATATTGATATTTGTGAGTTCATGTACCTTCTACCTATACGTTTATATTTATACAGCTTGAATGCTCAATTTGCAAGTAGTTATTTAGTAGGACTTACTATTTCCTTCTTTTTTTCAATTATCACTATCTTAAGGTCAAGATATTATCATTTACCTCACTGTCAAGGGTAATGTCAATGAAATCTTCTACAAATCGTTGACTTTTTATTTCAAACATTGTCGAACTAACATTTTATAAACAAAAACAATTACGTAGAAAGGAAAAACATAAAAATTGTCGAGTGCTAATCGTATATTATGTTGAAATAATAATTTAAAGATTTCTTTTTTGACGATATTAAAAAGATTTCGATATCCAATGACGGGATAAGGATTATTGTTTTTTTTTTAATTGGTGTTTGGTGACAGTGTGAATGAGCACATTTGAAGGAAGAGATGTATTTCAGTGAAACTGCGGATATTGAAAGAGCGCTTAGAATAACTGGTAAGAGTTATTTTGTGGTTACTTTTTTTTATTGATATTAGCGATATGATTCAAATTCAAAAATTAGAAGGTTTTGATTTTTTTAGAACTTTTATTATTACCTAATTTCTATATAAATATTGTTTTAACTATTCCATATTAATTTCTGTCTCCCTATCACTATTATTTTCGTCCAAAACTGAACTGAGGGCTGCAAATAACTATCCTTAGTCTCCTTTGAATTGATATCCTATACATAAAATATTTGTTTCTTCTTTTGTCAACGATTCCAAAGTAAGTACCCACAGCTTGTTCTCAATGCAAATTTTTTTTCCTGAACGACTCTGTTTTATAGTGCTCAGTTGCTTGTAGACTTGTCTAGATCATTGGCTTCCGAATTTGCTGGACTATTGCGCGGCAAAATTTCCTCAATTTAAGGCATATATATTACTATACCGGGTGCCCACGAGATCACTTTCCGGCTGCCATTTTTTTATTTGTCCATTAATATCAACGAAACTTGGTAGAGTTGATATTCTATCCAAACGCCATTTTTATGCATTTATGACAAGTTTTCTTGACTTCCGGTTCCACCGGAAATGACCGGAACTTTTGATTTTTAAATGGCACACCCTGTATATTTTTTGTTTTTCGGATTCTACAGGTCGTTTTACGTCCAATTTTTGAATCGAGTTTTGCCCAAATCTTGTTTTTAAATTAAATTTTAATTTTTTAACTAGAGTGCCGTGATCATCCTAAAATGACTCTACATACTTTACTTAAGTTTAGAAAAATACAAACTCAATTTTATCTTTGTAAATTTTTTTGATAGAGGGCTGTAAACTTCATTATTTTGGTATTTTTGCCCTAGCTCAAAAACTAGAATAGAAACATATCACTTTCATAACATTACTAAATGCAGTTTTTTAAAGCGAATCCAACGATATAATACACTATGACATTTTTCTTAATTTTCGTCCAAATATTTCTGTTTTATTATGTAGGTAATTTTTTTTTCTACTTAAAATTTAATTTTGAAAACGAAATTTGGACAAAACTCAATTTAAAAGTGGTACATTAGGACGTAAAACGATCTGTAGAATCCGAAAAACAAAAAATATACAGGGTGTGCCATTTGAAAATCAAAAGTTTCGGTCATTTCCGGTGAAACCGGAAGTCAGGAAAAATTGTCCTAAATGCATAAAAATGGCGTTTCGTTAAAATATCAAGCCTACCAAGTTTCGTTGATATCGATAGACAAATAAAAAAATGGCAGCCGGAAAGAAATCTCGTGGGCACCCGGTATAGGCTGCTAAATTACTATATCTATATCATTTACTAAAGTTAAAGAAATTTTAGCTAAAGCACAATTTTCAGCTATGGCAGCATTTTCATTGAAACCTCTACCTTGTAATAAAGAAATGTTTAACGATTTCTTTAACCTCAGAAGATAAATTATTCCATTTCAAACCATCCCTACCAGATTCGTCAAATTTCAGAATAGTGTATGGTCAGATTCCACTTACTCACTGACTGAAAGCAAATCGATGCAAACCATACACTACAACCAAAATTTAAAAATTAAAGTAATAAATACAAAAACGAAAATTTACTATGTTGATCAAATTTAGAACAAAGTTTTCAATAAGAAATGTTCAATTATTAATTGAAAAGTATTTATTGTAAGTATTCTTCTTTCTTAACGTCACTGGTATTGGCACAGAAATCGATAAAATTTGTTGACCTTTCGAATAAAATATCTTCAAACATTCTCAATGGAAAATTTCAAAAGCTGATAAGACACTAATTAATATTTCTTAAATGGCCCACATCCTTTGGATGACCAAAATGTTCTTAAAATAAATAAAATGTGCCAACCGAAAACAATTTCACACCAAAAATTAAAGAGATTCTTCCTAATGGACAAATAATGACGATACTTTTATCAAAAACTATCAGTCAGAGTGGGGTCTGATTTATTGTCTATTGTTGAGAAATATTATTGTTTTTGTATTTTGAAATTAAATTGATGTTTTGCATAATGATATTTATAATTTATATCAGCTAAAATGAATTGAAAAAATCTAAAGATAACCCAATGGTGACCCCCTTTAGCCAGTAGAGGAGTCAAAAAATTTTATGCTGCAAAAATTTTAAGAAAATAAAAGATGATTCTACATTTGTTAAGCATGGGTTATGTAACAGTTCTTATAGGGAAATTAATAAATAATAGATATAGACTAGTACGGCCCTGATGTTTTTTTTCTAGACCTATCTTAAACACATTATTGCTTATCACAAACTTTTCTTACAAAGGGATAGTCAAAGAATAGGGTCAAGTGAATTATGCATTATCCATCTTATGGCATTTTTTCAAAGATACCGTTTAGTTTAAGACTAAAATTGATGAATAACGCTCCTGAAACTATTTATGCCTATTTTGGTTAATTTACCTGTAATTATTTCAATCTATATTTGAAGAAATGTAATTATTGAACTTTGGTGACAATGATAAACTGTGACGAAATTTTTGAACTTCGTGATATCAAAGACTACGATAGAGCTGTGAGAAGAACTGGTAAGGATTTATTCACGTGGAATAATGTCAATCCGTATACAGTAATTGTTCACTTTTCTGCATAGAAATAATGCTTTTTTTCAAGTGCCCTGATGACAAATCCATCTTTTTCCGTCCATTTTGTTCTGAATTTGGAATTGGAGAAAAATAAAAGAACTATTGAGAATAGATCACAACCGAAGTATATGGAATAAACTTTTCCTTCTGGAAAATATTCTAATTAAATTTGTATAACATTGTGAAGAAGATAAAAAAAAACCTATATTCTTTCCAGGTTATGGCCGTTTTCACTATGAGGTCCTTGCAGTCAGCGCAATGTCCATCCTCTCCATGGGTTTTCAGAACGGTCTCTCATCCTACGTTTTTCCAGCGGCCCAGTGCGATCTCAATTTCACCTCCTTCGAACTGGGAATTCTCAATATGGCCTTTATGATTGGAGGAATCATCGGATGTTTCCTGTGGGGAGCCTTAGCCGACAATTTAGGTAGACAGAAGGTGCTGTACAGCACTCATTTATTCGATGCTTTAATCACTATAGTTTGTGCTGTCTTGCCTACTGCGACGAATTTGTTTGTTCTCAGGTTTTTGAATGGATTTTTGATTGGTAAGACTGTTTCAGTTGTTTTTTTATTGTATATTAAACACATAATTGAATATTTTAGGTGCTCCAGGAAGTATCATCTTCACTTACGTTGCCGAATTCCAGCCACCAAAATACCGAACTCCTGTTGTTTGCTGCTGCGGAATTTTCTTCACCTTATCCTGGTTAATACTCCCGCTTCTAGCATATTTCATCCTGCCTCTGCAAGGGCTCAGTTTTTCTTTAGGAAATTTTATATTTTTCTGCCCGTGGAGATTATTCCTCATCATCCTAGCCATTCCAGAACTCTTAACTGCCTTGTGGATACTAAAAATGCCCGAAAGTCCTAAATATTTCCTGGCAAAAGGCGAACACAAAGAATGCTTAGCGATCTTGAGACATATGTATTCTAAGAATACCGGAGATCATCCTGATGATTTTCCAGTCAAGAATTTGATATCAGACGTTAAAATGGATACATCAAACAATGTAGCATGCGATGGGAAAACTTTGAGGGTACTCAGAACCATGGGAGGACAAATGAAGAGTATGTTTCAGCAACCGTTGTTAACAGTAACTGCTTTGACTTGCATCATAATGTTTGCTAATATGTTTGGGTAAGTAAAATGTTAATTATTTTGGTCTTCTAGTATTAAACTTTTCATATTCCAGAATGTTTGGTTTAGGACTCTGGCTTCCGGAAATCTTCGTACGCTTTGACCAATTCGAAAAACTCTATCCCAATGCCACTCCATCCATATCGGAACTTTCAACTTTAGTCCAATCCAAAAACGTTACTTGTGAAGCCACCTTTGATGCCTCAGTAACCTACAATACTGTTGTAATAGCTACCAGTTCATTGGTTTTTAATTTAATTTGTGCTATCCTAGCAACTAAAGTTCATTTTAAAGTTGTACCACTGGTAACGATGTTGATTGGCGGAGCTGCTAGTGCCAGCATATACTTTTTAAGTAGCTCCCTGCAAAATTTAGTTGTAGCTAGTTTATTCCAAGCTAGTATGATTACTGCCAATATGACAATCGGTAGTATAGCTGTTGAGCTGTTTCCTACCAAAGTTGTTGGCATAGCTTTGAGTTTAATTATGTGTTCGGGACGTTTTGGAGCTGTGGCCAGTAGCTTCTTGTTTGGTTATTACATGGACACCCAGTGTGAGATCCCAATTTTTGTAGTAGGAGCTGTAGTACTTCTAGGAGGTTTCTTATGCTTTTTAGTACCAAGACGAAGCAAAGAAGCACCAGCAAGTTTCCGTATGACGCATGATATTGAAGTGGCAGTAATTTCAGCGTACGACGTGAAATTGAGATGAACTCTTGAGCATATTTAAAAATATGTCTGTGTTTATGTGTTACTAGTGTTGTAGTTTTATTTATTTTTATAAATAATAAAAATTTTACTTGTAGGAAAATGTATGAGGATTTTATATGATATAAACTAGGATCGAATTCCGATTTAAATAAATGGGAAACAAGTCATTGTATTGTTGTCATATCTCTAGTCTCTAAAAGTAGGTACTTTCGAAACTATCAAAAGACTAAAATTGATGAAGACGGTGTCATAATAATGAATTAAACTGCTGAATTAACAATATTTAACATCTGCTATTTTATATACTTATACTTACATGCGCTTATCACCCTCCCTATTGCAAACAAACCTGTAGCCTCCTACAATTGATTTTTCCGCCTGCAATAAAGCAGGAGAAGAATTGCTTGTTCAAGCTTCTGATTTCCTGCTGAAAATTAACTGAAACTGGAACTCCGGAAAAGTTTGGAAGCGAAGCTGTAGCTAGAAAAGGAGTATCCGTCAAATGTCAGCTTCGATCCATGCAATGGATTTTCTAATAATAGTGCAAAGTCTCCATTTGCTGGAAAAGTTACAGCTACACATTAAAACCCTTTTCCTTGAGGAGTTTCCATGATAAGGATTTCTAGTAGCAGGATGAAAGAAAATTTATAAGGTTGGTATGGAATCCTGGTTAATACTTCTCAGTTTTTCGTTAGAAAATATTATATTTTTCTGCCCGTGGAGATTATTCCTCATCATCCTAGCTATTCCAGAACTCTTAACTGCCTTGTGGATACTAAAAAAGGCCGAAAATCCTAAATATTTCCTGGAAAAGGGCGAACACAAAGAATGCTTAGCGATCTTGAGACATATGTAATCTAAAAATACCGGAGATCATCCTGATGATTTTCCAGTAAAGAATTTAATATCAGATGTTAAAATGGATACGTCAAACAATGTAGAATGCGATAAGAAAACTTTGAGGGTACCTACTCAGAACTATGGGAGGATAAATGAAGAGTATGTTCCAGCAACCGTTTGTTAACAGTAACTGCTTTGCATCATAATGTTTACTGATATGTTTGGGTAAGTGAAATCTCAATTATTCTAGCCTTCATTGAAATTTACCTTTCATATTCTAGAATGTTTGGTTTGGGACTCTGGCTTCCAGAAATCTTCGTGCGCTTTGACCAATTCGAAAAACTGTATCCCAATGCCAATCCATCCATATCGGAACTTTCAACTTTACCTAGTCCAATCAAAAAACGTTACTTGCCTCAGTAACCTACAACACTGTTGTGTAGCTATTACAACAGTGTTGTAGGTGTAGCAACTAAGGTACATTTCAAAGTTGTACCACTAGGTAACGATGTTAATTGGTGGTGCTGCTAGTGCCAGCATTTACTTTTTAAGTAGCTGCTTGCAAAATTTAGTTGTAGCTAGTTTATTCCAAGCTATAGTATGATTGCTGCAAATATGACAATCGGTAGTACCTATAGCTGTTGAGCTGTTTCCTACTAAAGTTGTTGGCATAGCTTTGAGTTTAAAGTTTAATTATGTGTTCGGGGCGTTTTGGAGCTGTTCCCAGTTGCTTTTTGTTTGGTTATTACATGGACACCCAGTGTGAGATCCCTATTTTTGTAGTAGGAGCTGTGGTACTTCTAGGAGGTTTCTTATGTTTCTTAGTACCAAGACGAAGTAAAGAAGCACCTGTAAGTTTCCGTATGACGCATGATATTGAAGTGGCAGTAATTTCAGCGTACGACGTGAAATTGAGATGAATTTTTGAGCATAATTAAAAATATGTCTGTGTTTATGTGTTACTAGTGTTGTAGTTTTATTTATTTTTATAAATAATAAAAATTGTACTTGTAAGAAAATGTTGTATGAGGATTTTATATGATAAGTATAAATTAGGATGAAATTCCGATTTAAATAAATGGAAACAAGTCATTGCTTTGTTGTCATATATCTGGTCTTTGAAAGTACTTTCTAAACTATCAAAATACTAAAGTTGATGAAGAAGCTGCCATAATAATGAATTAAACTTCTAAATAAACAATATTTAACATCTGCTATTTTATTTACTTATACATACTTACATGCGCTTATCACTCTCCCTATTGCAAACGAACCTGTTGCCTCCTATTATTGATTTTTCTGCCTGCAATAAAGCAGGAGAATAATTGCTTGTTTAAGCTTCTGATTTCCTGCTGAAAATTAACTGAAACTGGAACTCCGGAAGACTTTGAAAGCGGAGCTGTAGCTAGAAAAGGAGTTTCCGTCAAACGTCAGCTTCGGCTCATGCAATGGAGTTTCTAATAATAGTATAAAGTTTCCATTTGCTGGAAAACTTACAGCTACATACCTAACACTATCAACTGCTAGCAGTATCCTTTTCCTTGATGAGTTTCCATGATGATTTCTAATAATCTGAAATACAATTGACTCTTTCTGAAATGAAATTAAATAATCTGAAATACAATTGACTGACGCTTTCCGAAATACATTTCACTAATCTAAATTGCAATTGACCTTTTCTAAAATTAAACTGACGGTCTCCGAAATACATATGGAAAAGGTGTAGATTGGACATTTTGAGCAACGCAAAGTAAAAAAATAGGTCGATGTTCACTTTTTTAAATGGAATGCTCTTTATTTTCTTTGAGTTTCTTAAAGGTCTCGTTTTTCTAATTCAGATTTATACGTAGGTATAATACGTTAATGTTTCTTTAAATAGTTTTGGAAATATCTGGAGTTTAGTTATTCAAAGACCCATATATTTTACCTTGATTTACCTGTGACCTGTCATGAAAAATTCTGATTCCTCTATAGGTCATTGAATAACTTAAGTCCAGACATGACCAAAACTATTCCAAGCAATATTAACATATTATATAATCTGAATCAGAAAACGAGAACTTTAAGAATTTGAAAGAAAATAAAGTGCATTCCATTTAAAAAAAGTGAACATCGACATACAGTAGACGCTCACTACTGTGAACATCCCCTAATGTAAACTACCCTAGTAATGTGGACACACAAAGCAAATGTTTATTAGATTCTGTAGAATGAACAAATTGTATCTCTATACATATAATGAACAGCAATATCACGTATTATAATATGTCCGCCATTTTGAATACAAAAAAGAACACATGTACCTAATTGAATATTGAGAAATGAAGTTTTTTCGTTTCTTCCAGCAGAAGATCGGTTAACGCTCATAAGATGTAAAGACAGAATAATTGTCAAAAAGTTCTGGGATCAAAAAAAAAAAAACAAACAAAATTAACAGATTTTTCAAAAAAAAAAAAACCTCATGATGTAGATACATAGATAAGGTAGCAGTACCGGTTATCGGCCACTTAAGGGCAAAGTCCAACTTCAGAGGATTGTAAAAATTGCATTTGAACATAGATTATGACATAAACTGCATTTGCGGTTCGCTAATTTAATTACCTGTAAGTCCAATTAATTAGATGGGGAAAGAATTTTACTAGTTTTCGTAAAAACAATTAAATATGAAGTTAATACCATAAATACCAATAATCGGACACCCTAAAAATGTAATGTCCGGATTATCGGCCTAACTGTGTCCTAGTTATGGGCCATGGGTTATAGCAAGATTAATACTTAAACAATCATCATGAAACAATTTATGATATTTTTTGTAATTTTATTTTGAACAGAAAATACTAGTATGACACTGAGTATACAACTGAAAGTATATACTTAAACATAAATTAAAAATCTTTTAATTCAGGAACTGCATAAACACCTCTCTTATTTATAATTTTTGGTTTTTCTATTTTAATTATCACATCTTCTCTTTGGTAATTGAGAACATCTTCTTTGGCAGGCCATCTCCAGTTTTGACCGCAATTGCATCGTGAGATGTGATCGATGACCATCTACGAATAAAAGAATTGGCATCTTTATCTTGTTTGTTTTAAGCCAAGGAAAAAATACGTTTGCAATGTACTCAAAAAACGATTGCCCAGTCATCCAACCACTATCAGATTTTCCTACTCCCCAAGTCTTAGGTACTTTGTCAACTATGGCCTTTGGAACCCGTTTATAGGAATACATTATTAGCGGAGGTAGTAACTGACCTGCTGCATTGCACATAAATAATGTAGTTAAAGATTCTTTCTCGTCATTATTTGAAACAGTATATACAGTTTTTTCACCCTTTTCTGTAAGTACTTTTTCTCCTTTTGGACATAAAGACATCGCCGTCTCATCACAGTTATAGATTCTATTCGGCTCTTCGATATTTAGATTATGATCCTTCAAATAGGCTGCAACTTCTTCGAACCATCGGCGAATTTTCATTTCACTGACATCAGCTCTCAAACCAGAAAGATTTTGGGGTACTCTCTTAGTTATTTGAGGATGCCGTTTTAAAAAGTTCTCATACCAATGTCGGCTTGGTAGATCATTTGGAAAGGGATTTTCTCGTTTCAGTTCACGCACCAGTAGCTGAACGCTATCCGCCAATTGTGTCTTGGTTATTGGAAAACCAGCTTTTGCCGAGCTTAAAATCCACAACACTAAGTGATCTTCTTCTTCGGCGCTGAGAATCGTGGTAGGCCCCATCTTTCTCTCTATAGGTGTTTTTCCAGCTTTCTTATCTGTCAATGTTGATTTTGGAACCCCAAATGTCTTAGTGGCTTTTCGGATGGACACTCCACTATTAACAGCCTCTATTGCTCGCTTCATGGCATCTTCCGAGTATTGGAGTCTTTTTGCCATTTTAATTTTCAAAACCTGAAAGGAAAAATAATTAACCCTGTTTAATGGTTAATTTTTATCGATTTTAGAAATGCTTAAAAAAAAATACAAACAAGAGAAACAAATTTTGTACAAGTTACTTAATACTTTCAGTATAGCCGATGATTGGGACTTTATGGTTTATCATAAGAAACCTAATATCGGTCACAATGTCCATTTTATCGGCCACCCTTTGTCCCTGTTATCGTCCTAGTTCTTTAAAAAATATTTAGACAGCTTATTTGAAGAAAAATGGTAGGCCGATAACTGGGTAGGGTAAACTTCGTACTTTTCGGAAATAGTTGGCGAATTTATATTCAAGTAGTTTAATTGTTATATTAATTTATTTATTCAATGAAAAATGTTACTCAGAGTCCCTATCATCGGCCAGGCGGACGATAACTGGAACTTGACTATTTTTCAATGTCCTAGTTATCGACCACCCAGAAAATAAATTATTTTCTTCACAAAAACTAGATATTTCAGCTTAATATGGTGTACTAAACCTAAATATATTGCAAAACAAATTTTTAATGTAAGTACATGGGAACAAAGTATCATTAAACACATTTGATTTGATTGATGGTTTCTTACTTACTTTCTTAAGGGAAGCTCTTGTTCACTACACAGCTGTTGACACGTCAGTGATCACAAGCGAATTAAAAACATTAGCGTAGGTATAGCAGGTGCAGGTGATACCAGCTATGTTGCCAGAATATGCAATATTTCGGTGGAGTAATAATATTTTGTTTATGGCTTCTAAAAATCTTATTATTGAATAAAATCTGGTAAAGTGGCCGATAAGTAGGACCTGGCCGATAGCTAGGACATCTACCTTACATATTGTGTTTTCTAGATTAAATAGGTACTTATAGTTAGCCAATATTTTTTTATTTTTCATATCATATCTATCCAATAGTGTGAACAATTCCGTAATGCGTGAATTGGCTTTGTTCTAATATTATTTCACATTCAAATCAAATTAAATCAAATCATTTAATTATTCGGGCTTATACACATGGTGTTTGCATTCGTCAAAATAGAAAAAAATATGCATATAAATGTCTTACTTGCTACACAGAGTCAGTTAAGATAAAGTAAAATAAAAGTTACAATAAAATGTTACAATAAAATAATTAAGTTTTAAAACACAAAATACAACGCAGGAATCACATATCAGTCAAATATCAGTCAGAGAAGTTTATATTTTCTGTTAAAAATTCTTGTAGGGTATAGTATGATTCATCCATGAGATACTTCTTTACTGAGGTTTTGAAATTAGCTTTAGGCAAACTCTTTACCCCTGAAGCCAGACCCCAGCTTATAAGACCATAGGATATATGAGAGGCGATTAAAGCATGGTATGCGGTGACCAATACATCCCTTGTTGCTGTCTTAAATAGACATCTGAGAACAAATATGTTTTTAGAGATTTTTGTGGCTAGATAGTCAATGTGACGCAGCCAATTCAGTTTTGTGTCCAGATAAATCCCCAAAAATTTAGCACACTCTCCATTGTCTGTATTTGTGATTGGTCGTTGGGAGAAGACTAGGTCTATTGTCGCTTTGATCTGTTAATGGCCAGACAATTTTGGGAGAACCATTGTTGACTATTGAATAGAAGATCTTTAGAATTTTCCGTTGCTGACAAAAGGTCGGGGTGTCGGCTAAGAAGTGTGGTATCATCCGCAAATAATGTTACCTACAGAGCCATCAGGAATTGCCTGTATGAGATCGTTAATGCATACCAGGAACAACGAGGGACCCAGGACTGACCCCTGAACAACCCTATTTTTTATTGGCATCAGGACTGGTGGAAGTCTTATTATTGGACTGTACATATTGGTGTCTGTTTGTCAGGAATGATTCGATTCATTTTGTACTGTTTAGTCGCAGTTTTTGTAGTAAAATACTATGTGCCACACATAACAGTCTAATCCTTTAGTTAAATCATAGAATGTTACGCTTGTGTAAATATTATCGACATTATCGAGCATCTACATTCTACTGTATTTTTTACTTTACGTTGCTCATTTGTTCAATTTAATTGAAAACTCTGACGGTTCAGATAAAATACTACAACTTTTGTGTTTATACCCTTTACCTATCACCTGTAATTAATTATACGGCTGCAAGTGGGTGTCAAAATTATAGTGACTCACCCTGTACCTATACCTACCTAGTTTCCGAAGGGTTGCCGGAAAAATGATTGGATAGTTGAATAATATGAGTATATGAGTACGCAAAAAAAATCAAAATAGTTATTTTTGTCACAAGTACCTAAAATGAAGTTTTCCAGGACGAATCATTGCTGTTTCCGGACGAGGCGTTAGCCGAGTCCGGAATAGCAGATGAGTCCTGAAAAACTTCGTTAGGTACGTGTGGCAAACACTATTTTTTGTCATACGCTTTTTAGAATTCCTAGGAACGCTAAAATTTGCAAAAATTCCTTAATTTTTGAAATCATAAAGGTGCATCCAGAGAGAAAAAAAATCCTAAAAAGAAGCATTTTACGGACTTAAATGAGTCCGTAAAATAGCTGTTTTTGGGAGCGTATGACAAAATAGTTACTTTTGTCACAAGTACCTAAAATGAAGTTTTTCAGGACGAATCATTGCTGTTTCCGAACGAGGCGTTAGCCGAGTTCGGAATAGCAGATAAGTCCTGAAAAACTTCGTTAGGTACGTGTGACAAACACTATTTTTTGTCATACGCTTTTTAGAATTCTTCACAACGCTAAAATTTGCAAAATTTCCTTAATTTTTGAAATCATAAAGGTGCATCCAGACAGAAAAAAAGAGTCCCAAAAAGAAGCATTTTACGGACTTGAATGAGTCCGTAAAATAGCTGTTTTTGGGAGCGTAGGACAAAAATAAATTAATAGGCATCTACGTATACATAATAATTTCTTATTTAAAATTAAAAAAAAAAATATATTTGGAGGAGCTGGGATTTGAACCCAGGACTTTCCGCATGCGAAGCGGACACTCTACCACTGAGTTACACCCCCGACGATAATAATTTGACTCAAGGTGTTTGTGAACCAGATAGCCTTAAATATTCTTAAATCAAAAAATCAATAATGATTTTACAAATTATCCAAAAGAAAGAAATTAAATTATGAGAAACCATTAAGTATAAGCCATTTACTTATACTTCAATGAAAGTATGTGCTTTAATCATTTTGTATGAAAATGGTGAAAGTTTGCAGACTTTACTTAGAGCAAAAGCGTCGTTTTCTCTAATTTTCTGAGATATTTAAATAAAAACAACTAAAGATAATGAACTATCTGCTTCTGCAAAGTTTACTTATGGTGTTTTCTATTCGTTTCTATATTATCAACCTGTAAAAGAAACAAATAAAAGTAATCTTTTTGCTGCACTAGTTCTACCAACCGAAAACGCTATAGTGCTCCAAAGTCTCAACAATTTGGCAACGTTGCACCGGTTGTTAACATCAAGACCTCAACCCCACTTTTTAAAAAGAAAATAAAAGTTGTGTGTTGTGTGATTTGATTTGGGATTGTTTTATCTTTATTTTGTAGAAAAAGTTCATCAAAAATGCTTAAAAATGCTATAAAAATTCTGCATAATTCAAAACCTAATATCCTCAATAAAAGTAGAGGTAAGAAAAAACCTATTTTCATTTCAAAATCTAGTCTTTCACCCAGGCTTTCACCTATATGTTTTGGTCACAAATCAAAAGCTTGGATTCTAGGAAAATACGTATCTCTCGACAGAATACCTATTTACCTAACAAGTGCGGAAAATGATTTTTTCCAAGTTAGCAGCGGAGTGCAGAACAAACATTTTCCGCAAGTGTTAGGTACAATAGTTTTTAGGCGACTGTCACAAAAAGATTAGTTTCACGGATTCAATATCATCCCTAAAGTATATCTTTTTTGGCCGCATTTACTTTACGGCCGCATTCACTTCACGGCCGCATTTGCTTTATTACTTTACGGCCGCTTTTACTTCGCGGCCGCTTTTACTTCGCGGCCGCTTTTACTTTACAGCCGCTACTTTGGTGAAAATAAACAATTTTTTCTATAATCACATTCTCTTTACCGTAGTTTTTGTTATTAATAATTGTGTATCTACCTATCTTTGCTGGATTATTTATTTGATCAATAAAGTTTAAAGCTACTGTTGAATTTTATTCTTTTTTCAAGAACAAACACTCGCCTAAAAAATTTTGTGTGCACCTCGGCCGAATGATCTTTTTTGGCCTCACCTGAAATTTGCTTGACCTCGGCTGCGCCTCGGCCGCAAATTTCTGATTCGGCCAAAAAAGATCAACTTTACGGCCTTGGTACACAAATAACTATTTTCTGCGATTGACAAGAAATGTCAGCATTTTTGACCGGTTGGCAGGTCGCAAAACTCAATATTCTGGTATTTTAATTATATTTCAATAGTTGCTAAGAAATCAATGAATAACAATACGGGAATCACTTTTCCGGCCTAGGCCTTAATCCATGATTAAATTTCAGTTAAATTTAATCTCCGGTTAAGTTCAAAGTTGGTGTCAAATGATAGTTTATCAAAATCTAAGATAGGAATGTAAAATCGGTTTTCCTCTAGAATTAACCGTTCAGGTTTTACAGCCTGTCAAAGTTGCAAAAAGTCAATTTTCAACTGTCAATATTTCCAAAACAGTTGAACTTAGGTATAGGGTATATCACATGAAATCTGCTCAGAATTTTACATAGAATCCAAATATGCAATCAGATATAGGGTGTTCTATGTAAACTAGCGATGCTGCCACTAGTTTAGAGTAGAAGGGGCAACACTCCATGGTCAAAAATATTTTTAAAGTGTAGATCATGGTCGTTTATCCCAGTTGCCAAATTTTCAAAATGATCCGCTTATTAGTTCTCCATAAACGTCTAGTACGCCATCCACCGTGGGACACCCTGTATAAATGGACAAAATCAATAAACTGAAAATATCCAGACAGGACATACTATACTATATATCAGCAAGAACAGTCTCATAAAATTCAGCCAAAGTATGATATGCCCCAGGTGCTAAGAGCCTTTTTAGTGTTCTCCTGAATTTTTTCAAGAAATTAAACCTCCTAACCTCTGTGGGCATTGGATATGGTCCAATGTGGTTAAGTTCATTCTTTGAATTGCAAATAGACCTGCTATTGAATTACCCAAATCTGATCAGGTAGGGTGTTTTCGCGCTTCAGAAATGCAGTTAGGCACCAGATTTTCATTGAATATGATTTTGATAATGTAAGAGGCGAAGAGGTCATTATGGTACCTGCAAGTCATGATCCTGAACGCTGGGCATTTGTGCATACATAGCAACAGTTATTATTGGTATATTTGCGTTACTCGCAACACCAACCAAATATCCATTTTCCATCGACCTAGTTACTATATCAGATGCTGAAAACGTAGCTCCAAATAACGTACGTGTTATCAATTGAAACTAAAGTCCACCTAGCTTCATTATTTTCATTAATACCTATGTTTATTTCTAATTTTTAGCATACTATACCTATGTATTTTTAATGTGATTCTTGAATAATTGTTGGTATTGGCATAAAATAAATTAAAAGTATAGGGTGTATATAGATCTTTCGTCATTAAAAACGAAAATATAGAATTTATTTTTATATATTTATTTTATAATATATTTTTTGCTTTCACAGTCTATGGGAGAAACTGTGAGCTTTTTACTCAATTAGGTAGCCACTTAACTAAATAAAACTTTTTTTTTTCGTTCCTTACTGTTTCAATAATACTTGACCTAATTCAAAAAAAATAAAAACATAACACGCTATAACTCGAAATCAACGCGACAGATTTTTCAATGGTACAAACTAATAACAAACGAATAGCACCTCTATTGTATATCGGTAACATATCTATCACACTATTTAGGTATTTCTGATCTTTTTAAGTTTATTTACTCTATTTTTAATAGTATTTGACCGAATTATGTAAACGAAATAATATTCAACATACAATTTTCAACTCTGACATCTATATCCAAAATGACGTCTTCGGCGACCTAGAACTCGAAAACCCCTCGATAGATTTTTTTGCGTCCATGACAGCTTTTAATCAGAATAACGAGAAGTATATCATATCAAAATTTCAGACGATTTGACCGGGACCACTTTTCCTATCTTTTTGTGCGGGGTCCTTTCTTAATTGTATCTTTTATAATAGTTAAACAAGATATAGAGGATTTTATAAAATGCAAATGCACAATTTTCTTTTTTGCCCTGTATATCTGTTACTATTCCGAGTTCAAAGACGTTGATGACAGTAGATTATTTGTAGTCACTTCATCTCGAAACTTTTTCCCCATTTGGTTCACCCTGTATCTTCAATGGTTTCCAAAATAACCATGTTCTTCAAATTATTCTTTTACTTTTCCTGGTATCTTTAAGACCTAAAATGTGCGTGGAAGAGTGAGGTTTCATGCATACTTGTAAAGAAGTCTAGTCTCACGATTTTTACAAAAATCTCTCAGGATCAATGGCTTCTGAGGTGGTTGCTCTGAGGGTCGCGCATTTTTGAAACTGAAAGCCAGAATGGGCTACCTACTATGCAGTCTATGATCCACATTTTTTGCCTTCAGCTTTTCTTTTCCTTCAAAGACAAGTTGATCAATTGATAGGGTCCTTATCTCGGTCCTTATTTCTTTGGTTAGATAATAATAATAATAATAATAATAATCTGCAATTTATTTTCCCCACTGTTATCCAAAAAGTTGTGGATTGCTTAGTTTAAGTGGCTAATGTGAAATGACCAAAATTTGAAGATTCTTGCCAGATTGTAACATGCAGATAATTTGATTAGGGATTTTATTGATATTGAAAAGCGAAATACTTATACCTTTCAATAATTACTTGGGTCTCTGGTGAGAGATAAAATGTTGGGACTTTGTTGATAATAAAAACATCAGTAAAGAAATGAAGTTTGAAATGCTTGTTTCACTAGTAAGGACTAAGGAGCTGTTCAAAGACAGCGTTTCCACAAAAGAGCTATAAGCATTATAACAATGCTCCTCCCATTCTATGGTTCAATTATGATTTGAAAAACATGCGTGATAGACAATAGACTAGGTATTTATGAAGAGTCAGCTAGGTCTGACTGGTCTGACAATAATCCACAAGTTGTCCAACTCTGTAAAGACTATGAAAAATTGTATAGGAAAATGACCATTATATTAAAAATCACGATTATAATCCCAAATTCATTTGGAATGTTGTTAAAAATAGCACTTATCTTATGAAAAGAAAAACCTCAGATCAAAACAGCAATATTACCCCAAACGAATTCAATAATTTTTTTCACTAATATACCTAAAGAACTTATTAATAAAAAAACTCCATCTAAAAAATCATCCTTAAATTTTGTTGAACAGTATTGCCAATCCATAAGGAGTAAACTAGATGGCCTAAATTTCGAATTCTCTTAAGTATCACAAGCTCTAATTAGGGATATCATAATGAAAACATTCTCAACAATTATAGACCAATATCTATAGTGCCTATATTCTCAAAAATACTGGAAAAAGTAATCCAAAAAAAAATAACAAACTGTTTCGAAAATAACAGTATTTCTAACAAATCTCAGTTTGGGTTCAGAAATTCACTAGCTACAACAACTGCTATAAATGAAATAATACGGAATAATAAATGGCGGCTAAAGGGATGGTCAGTACACTGGGGCACTGTTCTGTGACCTAACAAAAGCGTTCGATTGTGTCTCCCAAGAGCTCCTAGTGTGTGAGTTGAAATTATATAAATTCTATCAGAATGCAGTTGATCTACTAAGTTCGTATTTAATAAGCAGAATGCAGCTTGTACAATTTAATGGGGGTATGTCTGAAATGTAAAATGTTCTATATTGTGTGCCACAGGGATCTGTTCTTGGACCCCTGCTCTTCCTGATTTATATTAATGACCTGGGCAGTTGTGACCCAACCACTGATTTTGTCCTTTTTGCTGATGACACCACAATGCTTAAAAAGGAGGAACAAATAGAATATATTATCAACTTAACTTGAACGCAACAAAGACTGAACTAATGTATCTCTCAATGAGGGATCTAGAGGGAATGATGTATGAACCGGTTAAATTTTTGGGTGTGTATATTCATACCAAGCTAACTTGGAATGCCCACATAAACAAGCTTTGTGAAGATATAGCTTCCAGTGTGTACGCATTGAGAAGATTCATTGCCTGATATGCTTAAAGGAACATGCGTCTGAATATCAATTGCACGAAGATATACATAGTCATAGCACGAGGCATGAAGATCATGTTTACACAGACTTTCATCGAATAAATAAGATTAAGAGTGGAATAACATTCTATGGTCCTAACTTTTTCAACAGGTTGCCTGCCACAGTGAAAATGTTGCCTACAAAACAGTTTAAGCTTGTAGTAAAAACATACCTAATTTATAAATTATTAAATAAACTATTCCCAGGATGAATTTCTTAGTAACAGTTTCGTAGATCATGTATAGAAGAATTTTCTCCCAAATTGGTACTAATTATATGTAATATTCTTTAATTTGTGTTTTAATTGGTATTCAATTTTGAAATTTTGTAATTTTTCTAGTGACGTATGTAAACACTCTATAATGTGTAATTAACATGAATAAATTATTGTTATTATTATGTATTATTATTATTATAACAAACAAATTAATTCAAGTTATTGCCTATGTTTTTTTATTAATTCTAGCTACTTTCCAAACATCAGCCACACTAAGAGAAAAGTGGGACCTCCTTACCGCTGTTCTTGTCGAAAGAAAACCAGTAATATGTCCTGAATTAAATGACATAGAAAAAGAATTCACAGAATACTTACAAGCAGTGGAATTCGAGAAAAGCCTTATAAATGAAACTGAGATAAAACTAGCCAAAGAAAAGTAAGGATTTTTTTGTTGTTGTTTGAAATGCAAAATGTAATTTTTTGTTCAATAGGGCAGCCTTCAGCCAAAAGAAAGACGTAGATATCGATGAAGTTGCTACAAGTCAGACTACACAAGATCTAATTGACGCTTACACAGAAGAATTGGCACAGTTTAAGCCTGCAGATAGAACTACCAGTAAGTTATCTAAAATATTATATTCATATTAAGATTGGGCAGTGGTGGGTGGTGGTATGGGCAATGATTGCTTTTTTATGATGGGAAAATCTGCAATAAATTACTTATTAGTTACATTGCTCAACTCCTATATAATCTTTTTATCCATCTTGTATCTTGTTCAATAATTATCTATACATACGCTTACCCTAGGGTTTAAACCAACCCGGAGGTGACTCGCTATTGAGAAACCGGCCCTCAGTCAATATTTTCTTGCCAACCAAAAATTAGTTTCTGACTCAATATTTTCAGAAGCTGATAAAACTAATGACGAGAAATCGCTACAACGAAAACTAGACAAACATTTAGTATTTGTGCTGAATCAAAAAATTGGCGATACAAAATTCTATATTTTACCACAAGGCAAAAGGGAAGCGGGTGAAACCCTAAAACAATGCGCTGAAAGAGTTTTGAAGGAAAAGTGCGGTACAGATATGAAAGCTCAAATATTTGGAAACGCGCCTTGTGGATTTTATAAATATAAATATCCTAAAACTATAAGAAGTGAGGATAGTATAGGTGCAAAGGTGGGAAGAATAACATAGTTATGAGCATAAATGATAACTTATAAGTTTTCAGATATTCATCTATTTTGCGAGGTATTCTTCAGGGCAAGTTGCAGAAAAAGAGGCTGATTATCAGTGGTTGGATAAGACGGAATTAGAAAAAGTACTACCAGAAAATTACAGAAAAAGTGTTTTGCCAATTTTGTTTGATTAATTAGGAAATTATGTATTATTTATTATAAGATAATATGATATAGTGAATAAAATATCGGATTTTCCCTTAATTCATGTCTATATTTCTCGTATCAACATCTGTAAAACTTGAAGGGTTTGGGGATAATATTTTCGTCCAGCTAGGGATTTTATGATGGATATACAAGTTCTGGACTTTTATCACCATACCTCTGTAAAGAGAGGGTTAAAATAAATCAGGATTCAATCATTTTTTCATTAATAATTGTGTTTATCTCACCAATAAAGTAAAATTATCATTAACAAACATTACTAGCTCATATCAACTGTTCAACTGCTTCCCAAAAAAATAGAACGAATGCAATTCTATCATACTTTACACACGTGTTGCCGATAAAAAGTCAAAAAACAGCATTGCAAGACAAAAACATGTAATAAGTTTTGTCTTTTTTGCACTTATATAGGCAATTATTAATAATGGGTAATGTTTTTTATTAATGTTTATCTATACATCTTTATTCTTTTTAGTCTCTATAACATAACAACATATCTATGACCCATACGTCTTGACAGCTGTCATCGTCTAATCTATTCCCTTGGATCTTGACATACACCTTATGCATAGTCAAGACCACTTCACACACCACACCCCTTTAATTTTTCATTTTTTGGGTCAAACCGCAAACATTTAAATGGCTCGCCTAAAATGTATATGAGCATCACTGGCGGTTATCAACTATTGATTGATTAATGCTTATAGTATTGTAAAACTTTTACTTTTGTGCGAAACTGAAAAATGAACAAAAACGATGTGTGCATTATTGGTTACTTAATAATATTTTTCGGTTTTTGTTGGAGTATTTTTATCACAGTTTTCTTCACTTCTAATTCTACTCAAAATTCAACTACTTTGGAATTAGTCCATGTGGTAAGTTATAATTACCCTATTTCCTAGAAAATTCCAACATTGTTTTTTCTTCACAGATTATGAGACACGGAGATCGGAATCCAGATAAAGTAAGCATAGGTCTTTTAAGTCCTTACCTGGACGAAAAATATTATGTAGAAGGTTATGGACAATTATTCAAAGTAAGTCAAATTTTGTATTAATTCATTGAAATCTCAATGTGTGTTTATTCCGTAGGAAGGTATAATGAGGGCGTACCAAGTAGGCAGCTACTTACGATCAAGATACGACAATTTCCTTGGCCAAACATGGAATATTAAATATTTGGAAGCTAGAACCTCTGATTTTAATCGAACTAAAATGTCTTTACAATTAGCCTTGGCTGGTTTGTATCCACCTGTTGGATCTCAGATGTGGCCTTCTAATACATACTGGCAACCTATACCTTATAATTATGTACCTTTGTTCCAAGATAAGGAGCTGTTGGCTTTCCGTGCATGCCCAAGATATGCTAAACTCCTAAACAATCTTTATGAAGAGCCCGACATTAAAAAGAATCTTCAAAGATATGAAGAAACTTTTAGGATTCTTGAAAACAAAACGTTAAGAAAAATAGATCCACAGAGTGCTTTTCATTTGTATATTGGATTTCAAATTCAGGTAGCTGGAATAATTTTGTTTCTAATAATAAAATAAATCAGATTTTTTCTTTTAGGAACAACTCGGTTATCCTTTGGAAGAATGGACCAAAACAGTATATCCTGAACCTTTACATGCTGAAATGATAGATTTTTATCATATAATGACTAGTACTACTGAGATTAGGCGAGTCATTGCAGGTAGTAATTTTATAAACAATAAGCTCTAATAACTAAACATTGAAATTTCATGCATTTTAATTACTTTTCAAATCAAGTGAAATTAAATTAAATACTGAAATTTGTTACATATGTAACGTTATTACTAAAAATCATTTCTAGGATTTTTTTTGAAGAAGCTTCTTACTGACACTGAAGCAAAAATTAACGGTACTATTGACCCACCTGAAAGAAAAATGTTCTTTTACAGTGGCCATGAATATAATATTGCTGCCTTACTTCAAACTTTGAATCAAGAGATATTTGAACAGCCACCTTATTGTGCTTTCATAATATTTGAAGTTCATAGGATTGATGGAGTTTATGGAATAAAAGTAAGCCAAAGATTATTTTGTATTTGAAATGCTTTGATGCTTATTATTTTAGATGTTTTATCAAAATTACAAGCAAACTGATCCAGTTCTGCTCAAAATTAAAGGTTGCGATTATTTTTGCCCCTTCAATGATCTCTATAGGATAGTAGAAAAATATTTGCCCGACAATGATGAAGAATGTTTTGGATCAACGTGAGGGTATCATGAGAACCAATATTTATTATGGTGTAGTGTCAAGCTATGGAAAGATGCTAAGGCAGGACAAACCCTGCCTTGTCATATTTTCGTGAATATTGTAAAATTTTTGTCAAGACATCTAAAAAGTAAACACATCACAATATCTTTATAAAAATACTAACTAAATCTATAGGCCTATAAAATATAAATTTTCATTTACAATTTGGATGTTGTCTTCTCTTGCCCAAATGAAAAAAAAGCTGGAAGCATGCAAAATTTCACATTTCTGACATTCAAATTTTGTTTTTGACCATGGTTTCTAAAAAGTCAGCCAAAACTGTCCAACTTTTATATTTACACCTTTCTTCTACCTGTAAAGGTAAAGGCTGTAGGTGGGGTGTCAATATATAAAAAAACACCCTGTACTTCTATAAGAATTCCGCAGAAATTCTATGTGATGTAATTCCACGAGAACTTTTCAGAATGCCATTATAAAATTTCATGGAATTCCCTAAATTCCTTGATATTCCATTGTAATTTTACAAAAATGTATAGAAATTTTACTGTAAAATTTCCATGTAATTCAATGGGAATTCTGCAAAAATTCCATTTTTTCCATAAGTTTTCGAAATTTCAAACTACTTCATTCAATTTTGTAGAAACTTTTATATTTCCACGGAAATTCTATTTTAAAATTTTCTACAATTCTTTTGAATTCCACTTAAGATTCCATGAAATATTTTTAAAATACACCAGAAGATTTCATGAAATTCCTCAGAATTTTACATAAATTAATGAAAATTTTGTTGCAAGATTCTATGAAATTTTTCAGAATTCCACTATAATAAATATTTCAAGAAATTCCTCCATCAATATCTCAATTAACAGGTTTGTAAAGAATTTAATTGGCCTTAATTAAAGCTTTACCGGAGCTGCGAGGCAAAAACTGTTTCGGTGTCATTTTTGGAAAATTTTCAATGTTCGATAATTTCAATTTTGAAGCTTCTCAGGTGTAAAACTGTCGAAACCAGATTCAAATACTAATGAACAGCTTCATAGACAATTCAATTAGTTTTAATTGGAGCCTACTTACATTGAAATCGAATTGAAATTAATGTAGGCAAAAACTATCTTAGTGTAATTTTTGAAAAATTTTCAGTGTTTGATAATTTCAATCTTGAAACTTCTCAGGTGTAAAACGGTTGAAACCAAATAGAAATCTTAATTGACAGATTTGTAGAGAATTTGATTGGCTTTAATTAGAGCCTAATTACGTTGAAATTGAATAAAAATTAACGATGCTGTGAGGCAAAAGTTGCCCCAGTGTCATTTTTGGAAAATTTTCAATGTTCAATAATTTCAATTTTGAAGCTTCTCAGCTGCAATACTGTTGACACCAAATCAAAATTGAAATTAACAGGTTTGTAGAGAATTTAATTGACCTGTCTCGCATAAATAGAAAAAGATAGCTTAATTGTAATAAATACAAGTTGGAAAGTAATGAAAGATGACATGCGCGCGCAACTCGTAGGTGCAGTGTAGCCAAATTGTATTGTTGCAGAACAAATGTAGACAATACAAATCGAACATTGTAACATTAAAGAAGTGATATAGTGTCAAGTGTTCTACAACGCCTTAATCAGACAAAAGAAAGGCTTAAAAAGTGTATGTTAACATCGTTTGCACTTTTATTTTGATAGATGTTTCATCCGGCGACATCGCACAATGAAAGTGCAAAGAAATATGACAAGTATAATCTGATGGCGTTTCCGATTGGTAGATTTAGTGCGCACTGAGTGTATTTGCGTCCTTTTAACCGACCCGTAGAAGAAAAAGACAGAAATAGAAAAAATTGCACTAGTTCCGCACTAGATCTACCAATCGGAAACGCCATGACATAATCTCAAACGACACTGCGGTGAGTTCAAGTAATATGTAAAGTATTAGTTTGCTCTTTGTCGAATTACACGTTACAAAGAAAGAAGGAACGATTCATTCTGAACTGGCACCTGAATAAGAATATGACGCATGCCTGTAACAAACTTGCTTCTCATTGGACGCTCACCTGCAGCCTACAAGCGACGCGCGCAGTCCAGGTAATAGGAGATCGGAAGCAAAAAAACTGTAAATCCCTGAGAATTTTATGGAGTTTCATTGAAATTATATTTAATTCAACAGAAATTCCTCAAAAAAATTCATGTAATTACATAAAAAAATTACGGAATTTCACTGAAAGCCGGGAAATTTTCATTATTCTAATACAACTACATGTAATATCCTGGAAATTTTTCGGAATTTCGCTGAAATTTCTTATAAATCGATGGAAATTGTCGGAATTCCACTTAAATTTCATAAGAATTTTACGGAGTTTTACTGGAATTCCATGTATTCAACCGGGACTTTCTCGAAATTTTATGTAATTACGAGGAGAATTTTCGAAATTTGACTGAATATTCAATTATCAGAAGGGAATTCCTCGGCATTCCAATAAAACTTTATTTGATTATATGGGATTTTTTCGAAATTGCACTAAAATTCAATGTAATTAATTCCGCAGGGAATTCCAATAAAACTTCAAATAATTTTCCGGAAATTAACTGGAATTCCATGTAACTTGACGAGAATTCCTCAGAATTTTAATAAACTTTCATGTATATTGAATGACTTTATATAATAAGTTAATTGTTCAAGTACAAATAAGTGGATTATTGCAGAACTTATGGGTGGACCTCTGCGGGACGAGCGCAGCGAGTTCCGCAGCCGTCTACTCACCAATATACTGTTGAACTGTTCAAATAAGATACTCACCTGAAACGTGTAGTTTTTAAACTAATGAGAATAACTCACATGTGAGTGAGTCAGGTTAGTATCGTAATTAAACAACATATTGATAAATAGACGGCTGCGGAACTCGCTGCGCCCGTCCCGCAGAGGTCCACCCATAAGTTCCGCAACAATCCACTCGTTTGTACTTGAATAACTTGTCAATATATTACTAGTTTGTTAAAGTAACATTACGAATTCCTGTTAATGGGCAAATTGACAAAAAGTGGATAATCTCCAACAAATTTTGACTCTATATAATAAGTTATTGTTCAAGTACAAATAAGTGGATTATTGCGGAACTTATGGGTGGACCTCTGTGATACGAGCACAGCGAGTTCCGCAGCCATCTACTCACCAATATACTGTTGAACTATTCAAATAAGACACTCACCTGAAACATGTAGTTTTTGAACCAATGAGAATAACTGACATTTGAGTAAGTCAAGTTAGTATCGTACTTGAACAACATATTAATGAATAGATAACTGACAGAGGTCCACCCATAAATGCCGCAACAATCCACTCGTTTGTACTTGAATAACTTGTTACATTATGAGTTTGGTAAAGTGACATTACTAATTCCTGTTAAAAGGCAAATTGACAAAAAGTATCAGAGAAACCAAAATACTATCAGAGAAACCAAGTACCTCAAACTTTACCTGCAGATTTCATCTGTACAGATATAATGGTTCACAAAATCAGTAGTAGGATAGTATTTTTACAATTTTTGGAGCTGAATATATGAGAGACTGTTCAATCAAATATAGACAAACTATATATTTTTGGAATCGGGGTATTGTGCTCTCTGTATACCTTGTTTCATAATACACTGCATTATATTTCTCACAATTGATGTCTTTTGCGTCTAAAATATTTGTTTGTACTATTTTTTCTCACTACTGCAAGGAAACAGTGGCGTAGCTAGGCGTCGGCGACCGCCGACGGCCTCGCACCCTAAGGAGCCTCGCAAAAAATAAGTTACCGAACCTAAAAATTGACAATTTTCGATTTTCCAAAATAAAACGCAGAGAACAAATAAACCTAATCCTATACGAAACTTCTAAATATCATAGATTTCGCTAGGACTTATCAATTTTGCTGCAAATTAACCTATAGAACTCTTAAGTCACATGGTTTCTATTTTTTTCGGTAGATTGTCGGGAAAAAAATAATATTTTTGACTAAATAAGTATTGTTATCAAATAGCATGCTTACTACTACTACTAATAAAGCATGCTCGGAGGATATTTTACATAGTATACCATGTAGAGAGCATCGAGTCTATAAGCTTCGCCCTCCAAGGCCAGTCCAGCTTTGGTACAGTATAAAAATGTCTGTAATGCGGTATAAAATGCAATCCGCAGTGCGCATAATGGGGTATAGTAGGTAATCGCGTTATACGCTCACAAGAGTCGCACGCGGGATAACTATTTCAACCTATAACAAACCTGTATTTGGGCATTCAGACTATTTTTCAAATAACTGTCACGTCGGATAGTGGCCTCAGTTATTTTTTAAATTTTGATGTCAATTTGTGCATTGCATCCCTTTTTCCTGTTCCGCAAATCAGAACTGCCCTTTTTCTGTGCATTCTTGTTAAGGTTGTTATGCTGGACTTCGACAGACGGAAACTTTGCGAAAAGCTAATTTTTGTATATTCAGGGCTGGTATTTCAATATTACCTTAAAATCAAGACTTAACTAAGGTACCCTCAATGTTAAGGTGAACTTGAAATCAATTCATTCAGGTGGCTTAAGATCCACCTTGATTCAAGTGAACTTTGATTTACGGTGAAACTTTTATTAAGGAAGACTTAACGTTATTCTGTACCTTAAGGGAACATTGAAATACCGGCCCTGAGAAACGTTCTCCTAATTATCCAGTTTGTATATGTATCAGCACTAAGCTTTCCTATAAAACTCTCAACTTCTGCAAAATCACTCCTCATCATCATTTGCATCTAATTAGAGCCTTATTTTCCTTACAACTTTCAAATTCCGAAATTCCTATTTCTACCTCAGGTTGTAATTTTTTTTAATTAAATTTCCTTACCTACTCTGCTCACCCATCTTGCTTTGTCTTCACTTCCAACACTCACACACTAAATGAAAATGAACGATTATATGCATGCGAATCGTGGGTTCTAGAACCCCTGGATAGGTACTTTCGGAGGTGTCATGCTGTCTCACTCCATTCCATCTCCTTTTGCCGAATGCCGCGTTTCTGAGAATCCTACTACAAACTATACCGTATTTGGCGCCCTAACTACATTCTATACTGCATTACAGATATTTTCAATACTGAACCAAAACCGGACTAGGCTTGGAGGCGGAGCTAATAGACTCGATGTTCTCTACATTCTACATGGTATAATATGTAAAATCACTGCTCGGAGACAGGGGCGTGACACCTGCCGGTGGCTACCCGTCCCAGCTTCTTGTCACAAGAAATCCTATGGCCACCCCACCCTACATAAAAAGGGCCTCGCAATTCAGATGTCGCCGACGTCCACGTTTGGTTTCGCTACGCCACTGCAAGGAAATGCCAGCAATTTTATCAAAAAATGTACAAGTATTGCGGAGAGGGGTAGACTCTGGATCAAGCGTTGGGCAAATGACAAAATTTGGAATATTTTCTACTTTTGAAATGCGATATATTTACTATGATTTTGATAAGTGTTTCCAATCTCCCGTTTCCATTTACCCACATTACTATACATATTACAATTTATTAGGTGTAGTGTCAAGCCATTGAAAAATGTTTTTGTCTCGCCTATAAGAAATGTAGATGCAAAGGTATTATGAACTTTCATAAATACTCAAATTGGAACTGATATGTTTTTAGATACTCATATTATGTATTTTGCAAGGTATTCTTCAGGGCAAGTTGCAGAAAAAGAGGCTGATAATAGATAAGACTGATAAGACATAATTAGAAAAAGTGCTACCAGATACCAGATAATTACAGAAAAATGTTTTTTTCCCAATTGTGTGTGATTAATTAGGGAAATATTTATAACATTTCATTATAAGATACCATACTACTAGTGAATAGAATATCCTGAATTAATGGATTTTCCTAAATTATTGTTTGTTTTTTTTTTTTTGCTTTAGAGCAGTATTGCTTGATAACCTTTTCTTTTGCCAGCGTAAAATATTTATACTATTAATTCATGTTAATGGTTATTGACAAATCAACATCTCTGAGGGTTTGAATCATCTGGATAATATTTTCGTCCAGCTATGGCTTTTATGGATATATGTATGTATTTTTCAGTTTTGAATTTTTATCACCATACCTCTATAGAGAGAAGGCCTGTATTGAATCAATGTTTGCGTTCATCCTACTAGGTATCTAGCTCATTTCAACCATTCAACTGCTTCTCAAAAAAGTAGAACGAGTTTACAATTCTACAAAGCAATTCTATCATAGGTATTTTACACACGATAAAAGGTCAAAAAACAGCATTGAAGGATAAAAGTGCAGTTTTTCGACGAGACCATATGTAATTTGTTTTGTTTTATTAAATTAACTACACCATTAATTACCTATGTAGTTTCAAGTATTGGTAGGCTTTGAATAAAGATAATAACAATAATAAATTTAAAAAAATTTTGCACTTATACTTACATACAATTATCAATAATGACGATGATAATTTAAATAGTGTATTTATTACCTCATTCATATTTTATTCAATTCTAGTTTACAGGGTGTGGAAGTCTTACTTAGGGACATACAAACGAATAAAGTCAACATTTTATTTTAGGCAGGGTGTTTTGGCAACTTGTATTTTGAAATTAATTAAAGCAATATTTATTAGTAATAGTTATAAGAAATATAATTACATATTATAATATAGAATGTTTTTGTGAAACCAAATAAAGATTTTCTTCGGAAAAAAAAGTATTTAATTGAAGCTCCAATAACTGTTAAAAACTCATTAAATATAAGTTTTTATTTTACGGACCAAATCGCATACATTTAAATGACTCACTTAAAATGTATATAAGCGTCACTGGCGGTTATCAATTTCTAGTAGGTATTATTGATTGATTAATGCTCATAGTATAGTTAAACTTTTACTTATGTACAAGGAAAAATGAACAAAAACGATGTGTGTATAATTGGTTACTTTACAATATTTTTTGTTTTTTGTTGGGGTGTTTACTCCGTAGTTTTCCTCAGTTCTAATCCTACTCAAAATTCAACTACTTTGGAATTAGTCCATGTGGTAAGTTATCAATTCTTATGGGCATAAAACTCCTAATTTTTTTTTTCTTTACAGATTATGAGACACGGAGACCGGAATCCAGATAAAGTAAGCATAGGTCTTTTAAGTCCTTACCTGGACGAAAAATATTATGTAGAAGGTTATGGACAATTACTCAAAGTAAGTTTCAAATTTTGTATTAATTTGTCGAAATCTCAATGTGTATTTATTCCATAGGAAGGTATAATAAGAGCGCACCAAGTAGGCAGCTACTTACGCTCAAGATACGACCATTTCCTCGGCCAAACATGGAATATTAAATATTTGGAAGCTAGAACCTCAGATTATGATCGTACTAAAATGTCTTTACAACTAGCCTTGGCTGGTTTATATCCACCAGTTGGATCTCAGATGTGGTCTTCTAATATATACTGGCAACCTATACCTTACAATTATGTCCCTAAGTCTCAAGATAAGGAGCTGTTGGCTTTTCGTTCGTGCCCAAGATATGCTAAACTTTTAAGCAATCTTTATGAAGAGCCCGATATTAAAAAGAATCTTCAAAGATATGAAAAAACTTTTAGAATTCTTGAAAACAAAACATTAAGAAAAATAGATCCGGAGAGTGCTTTTTATTTGTATGTTGGATTTGAAATTCAGGTAGCTGGAATAATTTTGTTTTTGATAATAAAAAAAAATAAAAAATTTAGGAAAAACTGGGTTATCGTTTGGAAGACTGGACCAAAGCAGTATACCCTGAACCGCTACATACTCAAATGAAATATTTTTATCATATAATAACTAATACTACTGCGATTAGGCGAGTCATTGCAGGTAGTGATTTTATAAGCAATAAGCTCTAATAACTAAGCATTAAAATTTCATGCATTTTCAAATGAAGTAAAATTAAATTAAATACCAAGCAAGGTATAATTTGTTAATATTAAACATTATTTATAAAAATAATTTCTAGGATATCTTCTGAAAAAAGTTATTACTGACACGGAAGCAAAAATTAATGGTACCATTGACCCACCCGAAAGAAAAATGTTCTTCTACAGTGGCCATGAATATAACATTGCTGCCGTACTTCAAACTTTAAATCAAGAAACATTTGAACTGCCACCTTACAGCGCTTTCATTATATTCGAAGTCCATAGGATTGACGGAGTTTATGGAATAAAAGTAATGCCAAAGATTATTTTGTATTTGAAATGCTTTGACGCTTATTATTTTAGATGTTTTATCAAAATTACAAGCAAACTGATCCAGTTCTGCTCAAAATTAAAGGTTGCGATTATTTTTGTCCTTTCAATGATCTCTATAAGATAGTGGAAAAATACTTGCCGGAGAATGATGATGAATGTTTTGGATCAATGTAAGGATATCATGTGAACCAATATTTATTATGATATAGTGTCAAGCTTGAAAAATGTAAAGGCAGGACAAAACCGGCATGGAAACTTTTTGTCTTTGAGTTTTCAATTTAAATAATTTATTAAATATGCAACTTGAATCGATTAGGTGAACCAAGGACCAGTATTTATAGAATCAATATGGGTAATTGGAAACACTTTTGTTATTTTCGCGATATGAGGCAAATAATGTTATCATGATTTATAATGCATTTTACAAGGGCATATTGGAACATTATCCTACATTTATATGCATTTATGTTACCTATGCTACTTGTAGTTTCTGAAATATGAAATGCTTTGAATTACTCTAGAATTTTTTGAAAATAACTGGCTCTGGAGGTAATTGAAAACATGTTAAACTTATTGAAATAAATGATCAAGCGTTAGGGCAAATGAAAATATTTGGAATATTCTCAATTTTTGAAATGCAATATATTAACTATGATTTTGATTAGTGTTTCCATTTATCCACATTGACTATAATGTTTTTGTCTCATCACCTATAGTACGTTTTCAATTCAAATAATTTATTAAGTATGCAACCTGAATCGAGAGGGAAACCACCCATGAAGATTTTACATTCATCCAAGAGAGTGCGGGAAATTTTGTAGATATCATAAGAGGAGTTCCAATGGAAAGAAGACAAGGAATATTAAACATTGAAGATTTTTCTAATTTATGAACTTGATCTGTTCATCATATTGGAAGAAAGTGCAGAAACTATCAAAGAAAACAGTTACTTGAAATGTAAAATTTGACAGGTGGTTTCCATCCCCAACTGCTTGAGCAGCTCAAGATTATGCACCAAATGATATCCTATAGTTATTGTAATTATGGAATTGAATAATAAATACCAAAAAAGCTAAACAAATTATTATTTTTTTAAATTAAAATCCTAAATTTACACAAAATGTTCATAACCATTCAACCACTTTTTCCTTAAACTCCTTCTCAAAGTGTCTCCATCCATCCTTGCAGGTAACTTGCTGAACTCCTCGGAAAGTTTCAATTGCTCTTCTACTGGACTAAGGCTCTTTATTATCCGCAATTCTCCGTTTTCCTTCAAATAAGTCCTGTCGTTTTCTTTTGGGAAACCATCGGGGAAAGTTATTGGTATTATTTCTATAGTGTGCTTCACTTTCCATAGTCTCTGGTTGTTTTCTGGGATGTTTTTGATAACGGCATAATCCTAAATCAACAAAAATTAAAACCATAAAGTGAATAACATGTGTCTTACCTACTTTTCCATCCAATTTAAATTCCTTCAAGATGTTTTTCTCCCAATGAGGTAAACCTTTCATAGGCCTTGTGCGTCTTACTCTGAAAAGTTTCGAAGGCTCGTATGGTGGATCTTTAAAGTCTGCAGCACTACAAGATTTTACAATATTGTTTATTATATTTATTTAAATAGAAAAGATATTTCACCTGGGGTAATATTTGAATCCAGGATATTGAATACCCTCGTTAAACCAGTTGAATTTACATTTTCCAACGTTTCGTGTTATTGCTAATGCAGGGGTGGTAATTTTAAGGAGGCTGTTGCTAAACATGTTTCTATTTTGAGGCAGAAAGGCCCTCTTTTAATCGATTCGAATAAATTTGGATGAACGTTTATTTATTTTTTAGAATTTTTAGGTTAGAGTTAGAGAAGATATTTCATTTCTCTCTGCTCCTAGTGCTCCTGCTCTGGATTCTGGATTTTTCGAATTTAAGATTATGATCCAGATCACATAAAGCGTTTTCATCATGCTCCGGTTCAACATACCGCGGTTACAGAACGGTATCTTAAGGCCGGTCGTCCACCGAAAATTTTTGTTGAATACCGTATGTTACATGTTTTATGTTTCATGTTCTGTTCGCGGTATGTTGAACTGGAGCATGATGAAAACGCTTATAAAGAGTTTCTATGATGCTAAATTTGACAACGTCGCTTAGAATAGAGAAGGGTTTATCGATATTTTCAGGTATCGATACGATATTCTCTCAAAGTTTTTACTTCTTTTTCATATCGATATTAGTTTGAGAAAATATCGATAAATACCTTACGATATTTCTGATTTTTCTTTTCTCCAGCTTGCCCGGATTTAGAAATAAAAGAACCTTCTTGCATATCCACTGTTCGTAGTGCTCGTTCTTTTCATAATTTATTATTTTGAAATAGGTATCTCTTATGAAATATAATTTAATAAAGACTGGATAATTACTACTTTGGAGAAATGTCAGTTTAGGGAATACTTATCGTTAGGGCTCCCCAAAAATAGTTCGTGGAAACAACTATTAAGAGGGCCTTTAAAGCACACGCGACATATTTCAAAACACGACGCCCAAGGGCTTTAAATGCTCTTATGGCCGTTTCTACCAACTATTTTAGGGGAGCCTTAACGATTAGTATTCCTTGAACTGACATTTCTCCATGTAAAAATGTCATTTTAGGGAATACTTATCCTTAAGGCCCTCCTATAGTTGGTGGAAACGGCCATTAAACACGCAAATCATACGCTATTTATTATTACGAATGCAGAATGCTGTATCTCAAAAATGTTTTAAATCTGTTCATTCATTTTGATAAATAGTAATTTAAATGGCAGGTAAATAGGTATCTATAAGGTAGATCAAACGTTTCTATAGCAAACCTTTGAAAAGGTAGGCGGATCATAAACATCATTTTATGCACGCTGCAGCGTTCGATAATCGCTGATTATAATGCGCAGCATGCGTGAAAAAAAAACATAATTATAGGTAGGTATAATCTATATAGGTACTTATGGCCATTTCCACCAACTATTTTAGGGAAGCCCTAACGATAGGTATGCCCTAAACTGACATTTCTCCATGTAAAAATGTCATTTTAGGGAATACTTATCGTTAGGGTTCCCCTAAAATAGTTGGTGGAAACGGCCATTAGTTACACAGGTAGTTTTAAGGTATTGTTTTTAATGCGAATAAAAATTAAAAATTAAAACATAAATCTATAGTTATTTCATTCATAGAAAAAATATTTTTCTGAACACGTGCGCAAAGTAGTTTTTTCGCACTTAAAGCTTATTCAACGTCTAACTACTTTTGCGTGCGGGAAAACTTAATATTCCGCACTGATTAGGAAAACTACTATTTCTCACATTTCTTCTTTCTATCTCTCAATAGGTATTTCCGTTCAAATTTTTGTATTTGTTCCTGGCTCTTGAGTTTTCGTTTTCTTCGAAATTTCTCTAAAATCTCTAAACAGAAAAAGTTCGAGAGCTTGGAATAGAATAGTATATACCGAAGTGGAAAGTGTTTCATGACCTACTGTCAAGAGATTTTAGTTAGACCGTGGCGCAGCCGAGGTCTAACTAAAATCTCTCGGCAGTAATGTAACTTTTAACCGGAGGTATGTATACTATTTTATTTACAATCATTCGAATTTTATAATTTTTATTTGAATGAAAACTAAAACCAGATGTCAAATTTTTAACATAACGCTGCCTAGATAAATAACTACCTAATAAAACCTATTGAGATTTTTGAGATTATATAAAGCAAAATGAGCTCTATCCAATCAATGAAAAGAAAGATAATGGCGTTCCCATTTAAAAAAAAAAGATCAATGACGTCATATCTTTGAGAGAATTTTTTTTTTTCCTATATCTCTGTGTAACTTTTCCCTACACGTCTTCTTATAGATACCTATTTCCAAAATTTCATCAAATTTCATCATGCCGTTTTCTCAGAAAAATGCCAACACACACACATACAGTGGGAATCATTGCAATTGGCACACACTATATAAATATCCCTCGTATGCGTCAAATCTGACACACAGTAATAGCAAAATGCTGCACTAAATAGATTTATTCGTTAGAATTTTGACTTAATAACATACACACACACAGACGGAAATGTGCCACCTTTCCAAAAAAGCTTAAAATGATCCAAAACGTCAAGATTTAATGAAATTTTGACATGGTCAAAATCGGGCTATCACCATAGCTTCCTATCTAGGAAGCTAAAAATACAATAAATAATAATTTCATTTACTTTCGGCCCACGGGAGGAAAGTAAAACTTTCAACCCTTGGGTGGAAAGTAAAAGTCAAAAAATACAATAAATTTGAACAATTTCATTTACTTTCGGCTCACGGGAGGAAAGTAAACTTTCGACCCGTAGGTGGAAAGTGAAAGTCAAAAAAGTGACATTTTCAAACTTTTTAAAAGTCAGAAAAGTCAACATACATGTATGATTGTAAATAAACATATTGTCAACTACTTAAGTAAATACCACTCTCTACATCAATTTCATCAAAGTGTATCGACGAGTCCGCATTAATTTGGTATAAATATCGCGCCGAGATCCATTACCGGCAGACTGAGGCTAGTGCAAAGTAGGTACCTCAATTGGGAAAAGCTCCTCAAGCTAAGTCTCTTTTCAGTATAAACTACCTTTATTGGGAAACGCCCTTCTGGGAGTATTGAACGCAGCGCAGACTAGATCCAGTGCAAACTACCATAGAATACAAACTACGTTTATTGGGAAACGCCTTTCTGGACCTGTCTCAAACCCAACTTCAGTCTTCAGCCACACCAAGTGTACAGAGTGTACATAATACAGAGTGGCCTAACCAGTTAGTCCCTCCGTAGAAGAGACGTCATGGTATTATTCCTAGGGTAATATTTTTCTATTTTATCAATACATATCTTATTGTACCTAAACGAAGTGAGTTTCTCTTTACCTAAACCCCACCTACGTCCCCATAGGTCACGCTGCTGTTGTGACGTCCCAGGACGAAACGTATAGGAGTTGTGACTGTGAAGTTTTACACTTCAGTTAAGTTATTTTGGGTTCGGGTCCAGGATGGTGTACATTAAACAATCACATTAATACAAGGTTTATTATATGATGATAAAATATCACAGTTCGTTACATCACAATTAAGTAGGGTGAAAGTACCTGTTGTCGGCCACTTAAGGCAAATTCTGGAATAAAATGGCGATTGAAAATTAGTGGATAGAGCGAATCGAATTTAAATAATGTTTTATGATACCTTATAGTATATAAAATTGATTCCTGCAACAAAAAAAGGTTAAAGGTTTTGCATTTTTGTAGAAAAATGCTTTTTGCCGGTTGTCGGACAATCATTACATTTCTCGGACACAAAGGGACCCGTTGTCGGACACGTGTCCGAGAAATACGTTTTCTCGTCCACATAAACTAGTACATGCTAAATAGTACCAGTTTGGGCACTTCTCACAACCAATATTTTATTTTGGAATTTTTATTTCCTTCCATCATTGTTTGCACTTTTTTTGGTATTTTGTTTCTCTAGTCCTCTTGTTTATTTTTTTGTACTTCAAGTTTTTTTTTTTTTTTTCTCATTCCTTTCTTCTATAATATGATCTCCATGCCTTCAATGAGATGGCACTTGGTAAATTCTCTTTTTTTTGTATCTTTGGCTCTTATTTGATAGGTTCCCGAAATTGGGGGTGGCGACTGAAAGGACTTACAGCAACGGCAACATTTGGCAGTTTAATGGGAGTTTTTTCGAGCCTCCAGTCCTATGTCTGTTGTTTTATCAGGTTTCTCAGTTCCAGGAAAATCACTTTGATCTTTAGGAGATTTTTCCATTGCTTCTTCAATTTCTATTACATAAATACATTTATCAAATTTATTCTCTGTACACTTGTAACACTTTTTTATTAAAATGAAAGCAGAAAGCACTAACCCATACCCCATACCCATATAAGTAATGTAAAATGTCCGAGAACTTTACACCTACCTTTTCTCGGACACCTTTTCAGGTATACTACAATTTGACGCCTTTGTGGTTTATAGTGTCCGCAAACTGGTCCATAGAATCTCGATACAGTCTTCTAATGTATCTAATAAGGAAAATTAAGTTGAAAATCAAATAGGCTAGAAAAAGATACATATAGTTTCAACGTGCCGGACCCATTGTCGGACAGAGTGGCCGAGAAGTGGAGTCTGCCGATTTATAGGACCGGTTATCCGGACATTTAATAAAATTAACAAAATATTAATATTCATGTAATTTTCATGGTTATAATTGTAAATTAACATGTATATAACTTAAAAACATCAAGAAAGTATCGAAAAATGGAGTAGGAACATTTTTACTTACTATTTCCTTCTTAGCTTCACACTAGCAAATTTTTTCACTTGATCAAAAGGGCTGTGTTTGGAAAAACAGCCGACATATTATTATTTTTCTCAATTTGGTCTAGGCCCGTAAAGAGGGCGGTATTACAAAAACTGGTGGGGAAATAGTGTCTGAAAGTAGGTATTACTTAAAAAAAGGGTTTGATATAATATTTTCCTATTTATTGGATATTTTGTCGTGAAGTGTCCGACAACAGGGGGTGGCCGGCTAACAGGTTTCACCCTACTTGCAATTTAGTCTATTCAGTATGGCGGTCGGTAGCAGAAGAACGTTCTGGGAAATAGAGCGAGCTCACTGCCTCTTGGCTGCGCGCATGTCATTGAATATAATTAATAAATTGTATTGTTGGTTGCGTTACTGCACTCCCCCTCGCTTAGATGTTTCGTAATTACTTAAAGTAATATGTCCTTGTTTTTGGAACAATACAATTTGGCAATTTTCTGCAAGGTTGGGTAGGTATGAGTGCCTTTATAATTATTATACAACATAAGATACACATTCAAATCTATCATACCGATCAACATGAAAATAAGCTCAACTATTTCCTTCATTACATACATGATTCGAGTAATGTTTCGTAAATTTTAGTTGTTAAACTAAAAAAGAATTACTTTCCTTAACTTCCTCAAAATTTCTCTAGTCAATTTCGTCCAATGTGATGTAATCTGTTAATCTCAATAGCATTCTTATTATACATTATTTGAGTTTTGATTACTACCGACCGCTTTGTTTAAATCCCTATCATTAATTTACTTAATCGTGATTTTACATCCTTCCTACACTCAGAAATCTTCTCAGCTGTTTTCTGCTCGTTATCTATTTGATTTTGGATATCCTCGTTAACATTATTTAATATATTCGAAAAAATATAAGAATTAAAATCTTTACCACTCTTTACCCTAAGTAAGGTTTCGTCCGGAATTTTGTGTACCGCACAAGCTATAGACGATGGAACTGGTGCTTCTTGATGTTCTAATGTCATCTCTTTTGAGGTTTTCTCGCCATTCACATTGTTTCCAACTGCTCCGGCCTGCTCGGGCTCCACTGACTGACATACAAAAAGAATTGAAGGGCAGAAAATTGGGTTGGTATAACAGACTGATATGTTAGTGAACTATTAAAATGTTGATTTTTAGAATTTAATTCGCGAGTGTCTTGTTCATTTGGCTTGTCTGGAATTCCCACATGCATCCTTTGATTTGCATGTCTCTTGCAAGTTGTTCCTGAAGGAAAATGACAGATATACACTGTTTTCCAACTTTCTTGTCCACCCAGGCCTTCTTCCATAACTTCTATCCTAGTTTGTAGCTTCTTATCATCACTTCCTCCCCCGTTGGGGGAGTCTGGAGTCTGCGTACTTTGTTTCTTCACTTCTATCTACTTTTTCTTCTTTTAAGAGAGTCAATCTTGTTCTTAAAGGTCGATTGTAGACTATTTCCGCTGGTGACTTGCCAGTCACTGGATGTCTTATATTTCTGTATGTTAGTTAATATCTGGAAATTAAAGTTTGTAATGAAGTGCTCCCATTTTGTGGATCAGTAAGGGCTGTCAATATTTTGTTTTTGAAGGTTTTCACCGCAGATTCTGCGGCTCCATTGCTTTGTGGATGGTAAGGAGGACTAGTTGAGTGTTTTATTCCGTTTATATCCAGAAACTTTTTGAAATTTTTAGAGCTAAATGGAGGTCCATTATCGCTAACCAAGGTTCTTGGGCCTTGGCAGACCCATTCTAGCGAATATCTCTCTTAGTTTTTCTTCTGTCTCAATTTCTGTGCCATTTTGAAAAGGAGTCGCACAAGATTAATATGGTATTGTTTTTTACATAAAGAAAATCGCAATGTACTCTTTCAAAGACACATTCAGATTTTGGCCACGCTATTGCTTCGTTTTTGGGTGGATCTTGTTTATTCTTGAGACACGGTAGGCAGTTTTTGACCATGTTCTCGATGTCCTTGTCAATATTTGGCCAGTAAAGCACTGATCTGGCCAATGTCTTTGTTCTGTTCATACCAAAATGTCCTGCATGCAATTCCTTTAGCAAAGTTCCTCTCAAAACTCCAGGAATTACAATTCGATGTCCCCACATCAATATGTCTTTATCCGCTGTCAAATGGTCACGAATATTGTAGTATGGTCTTAATTTTTCTTCTAACTTGTGTGGCCATTTGTCCATTTTCACATACTCAAGTACCATACTTACCTCAGGATCCGTGCGTGACTGTTTCCTTACCTCTTCATTGTCTATAGGCCATTTACTTACTGTCTCCGCGAAATTTATATATAATCCTTTATCAGAGTATTCTTCGGAGATGGTCCTCACCTTTCTAGGCATTCTTGACATGAAATCTGCTACAGGGTTGTCTTTTCCTTTACCGAAGGCGGTCCGAATGAAATATTTACGCAACCGGATTAGTTACGAGATTCCTGACCCTTTATATAAACTCATAAATCTAAACACCAAACGACATTAATCACAAGGGTAACTTGTTTAATTGTGTACACGCGCTGTCGGCGTTTTTGAATACCGGAAACTGAAACGAAATTCTTGCGACATTACTCCGATAAATACTAAAATTAGGACACACAGGTGCAGGGGTCATTCGAAGATAACGATTCCTAGAAATAGAGGCGATGAACTTAAACTCACGCGAAGAGTTATGCTGAGATTGCATACTATTTAAATAGATTACACTTTATATTATTGCAAAAATTTAATTGACTTTGAGTGATTATTCCCATTTTTAAAGGAGGTGACGAAACAGACCCCTCTAACTATCGCCCGATTTCTCTGCTGACAACTCTATCAAAGATAGTCGCGAAGATTGTTAAGATTAGGCTTTTGGAATATTTGAAGGAAAACAACATTTTGCATCCAGAGCAGTTTGGTTTCGAGGAAAAGAAAGGAACGCACGATGCCATTTTTACGTTTCTTGAAAATCTTTTTCTGGGATTGAATGATGGAGACGTGATTTCTCTAAGGCGTTTGACTGCGTGGATCACGGGATACTGATGAGGAAGTTTGATCACTGTGGTGGAAGAAGTCAGTTCGTTAGAGCACGAAACAAAGACTCTGAAAGAAAAAAAATAACTTATGGTGTACCTCAGGGATCTGTACTTGGACCAATACTTTTCTTAGTCTATATAAACGACTTGGTAGACCTGCCCATTGGGCATTGCGGAGGTCTTTTTGTGATTTTCTGCGACGATACGACCATTTTATGGGAAAACAAAAACGCTGCAGTTCTTGCGGAAATTATGGAAAGAGAATTACTGTTGGTTAAGGAGTGGTGTGCTTGTAATCGTCTGGTGTTTAATGTGCCGAAAACAAATATTGTAACATTTAAGTGTAGCATAGAAAATATTTCACTAGAGAAAGAAACAGCTAAATTTCTTGGATTGCACATAGATTCGAAGCTGCGATTCGAGAAACATATAGATTTATTGAATAAAAAACTTTCACAGGGGTGTTATACAGGGTGGTCCATTTAACTTGAGACAGTCTAATACCTCGAAAACGGTGCGTTTTTGAAAAAAAAAGTTCAAATAAAAGTTACATGGTATCATGTGGGAAACAAAATGGCGGTACTGATTTTTGACTTCGACAACGTTTTCAAGGTTATTTCAAGGTCAACTCTTTTTTTTTCAACGGAAATATATTTCTTTATTACAGAATCTTATTCTACAGAAAAAAACAAGTAACTTTTACTTGAAGCATTTTTCGATCCGGTTTCGATTTAGGCTGATAAAAAAGAACGAATAATTTTTTTGTTTTCTCCTCACAAAATCGAACAGTAGAGAAAGGTTACCAAAAATACCTTAAAAACTATAACAATTGATCAAAATGACGATAGCCAACTTCAACACACTTGTCAAATCACTTTAAAAATCAAACACACAGTTTATCAAGAGGTTCCCACCACAACACCGGATAATATGATGGAACACATAAGAAATGCTTAGAGCTGTCAGTAAAGAAACTGTAATTTGGTGCCATGAAAGCTTTTTACAACGAATTAACAAGTGTGTTGAAGTTGGCGGTCGTCAATTTGATCAATTACTATATTTTTGAGGTATTTTTGGTAACCTTTCTCTACTTTTCGATTTTGTGAGGAGGAAAAAAAAATTATTCGTTCTTTTTTATCAGCTTAAATTGAAACCGAATCGAAAAATGCTTCAAGTAAAAGTTACTTGTTTTTTTCTGTAGAATAAGATTCTGTAATAAAAAAATATATTTCCTTTGAAGAAAAAAGAGTTGACCTTGAAATAACCTTGAAAACGTTGTCAAAGTAAAAAATCACTAGCGCCATTTTGTTTCCCACATGATACCATGTAACTTTTATTTGAACTTTTTTTTTCAAAAACGCACCGTTTTCGAGATATTAGACTGTCTCAAGTTAAATGGACCACCCTGTACATATAGTTAAATCTATAGCACATGAACTGGGTAAGCATATCGCGAAAACAACATATCATGCACTGATCGAATCGCATCTCCGCTATGGGATAGCATTCTGGGGGTTTTGTACTAAAAAAAAGCAGTCAGATATATTTGCCATGCAGGATACGGACAGAGCTGCAGACCACTTTTTAAACAGAAAAGAATTTTGACGATTCCCTATATATTCATTTTGGAAACGGGCCTGTCTAATATGTAAAGAATTTAAAAATAATGATATACTTAGGTAGTGAAAGACACTGGTTACAACTTACGCAATCAAAATTTTCCATTACCCATTCCGAAATTTGCCTCAAATTAAATTATATTTATATTGAAGGCTAAATTGAATTAAATGTCTGTTAGGTTAGAACCACCCTAAGAGTTGGCTGAACGGCTATATAAAACTGAAGTTTTAAAATTAGGCATAAACATGAATTGTGCATTAGCTGGCTAAATTTAAATAAATAAAATAAAATAAATAATGTAAAATCTTAGTCCCGCGGACTTCAAAGATCCACCATCTAGCCTTCAAAACTTCTTAGAGTTAGACGCATAAGGTTTACTTTATTGGAATTTTTTTTTTAAAGGAATTTAAATTAGATGGAAAAGTAAAAAAACATCTCAGAAAATGACCAGAGAGTATGGAAAGTAAAACATATACCATAGAAATAGTACCAATAACTTTTCCCGATGGTTTCCCCGAGAGAAAATGACGGGACTTATTTGAAGGAAAATGCAGAATTGCGAATAATAGAGAGCGTCAACCCCAGTAGATCAATTGACTCTTTCCGAGGAGTTCATCAAGTCACTTGAAAAGATGGATGGAGTCACTTTGGCTGAATGGTTATGAGAATGTTGTGTAAATCAAGGATTTCAATTAAAAAAAATAATAATAATAATAATAAATTGTTTAGTTTATTGGTATTTATTACTTAATCCCGTTAATGAACACATAATGGTGGTTTTAAATACTGATAATTAATTATAATCTCACTTGGCGCATAATCTTGAGCTGCTGATGCAGGTCGAGATGGAAACCACCTCCCAAATTTTGCATTTCAATCTTCCTCTTTTTTTCTGATATTTTCAGCACTTTCTTCCAGTTTCCTTTTGGATAAAATGATCGAGTTCATAAATTGGAAAAATATTCAATGTTCAATATCCCTTGTCTTCTCTTTCCATTGGAACTCCTCTCATGATTTCCACAAATTGTTCCGCACTTCTTTGGGTGGTTTCCCTCTCGATTTAGCGGTTGCATAATTGGTTAATAAATTATTTAAATTGAAAGCGTACTATTTATAGGCGAGACAAAAAGTTTCCATGCCGGTTTTGTCTCGCCTTTACATTTTTCAATGACTATTGACATAATAAATACTGGCTTCTCATGATACCCTTGCTCCTCCAAAACATTCTTCATCACCCTCAGGCAAGTATTTCTCCACTACCCTGTAGAGTTCATCGAAAGGGCAAAAATAATCGCAACCTTTGATTTTGAGAAGAACTGGATCAGCTTGCTTGTAATTCTGATAAAACATCTAAAACAATAAGGGTTAGAATATTTTTAATAAAAAATAATCTTTGGCTTACTTTTATTCCATAAACTCCCTCGATTTTATGAACTTCGAAAATAATAAAAGCGCTATAAGGTGGCAGTTCAAATATTGCTTCATTTAAAGTTAGAAGCATGGCAGCAATGTTAACTTCATGGGCACTGTAGAAAAACATTTTTCTTTCAGGTGGTTCAATGGTACCGTTAATTTTGGCTTTCGTGTCAGTGAGTAGTTTCTTTAGAAAATATCCTAAAAATGATTTTTTTCAATAACATTAAAAAAATTATACCTTGTTTTGGTATATTCAATTTAATTTGTTTACTACATTTGAAAAAGTAATTATAATGCATGAAATTTAAATGTTTCCATTATAGTACCGACGCAAATAGATATCTATTTTATTGTGAATTAAAAACACAAGAAAAAAAAGTAATTAGAGCTTGGAAAAACAATTATTGTTTATAAAATAACTATACCTGCAATGATTCGCCTAATCTCCGTAGTGTTGGTAATTAAATGATAAAAATCTATCATTTCAGCATGTAAAGGTTCAGGGTATACTGCTTTGGTCCATTCTTCCAAAGGATAACCAAGTTGTTCCTGAAAAAAATTGTTATATAGGTATATTTTACTAACAAAAAAAAATATTTTAGCTACCTGAATTTGAAATCCAATATACAAATAAAAAGCACTCTCCGGATCCATTTTTCTCAAAGTTTTGTTTTCAAGAATGCTAAAAGTTTCATTATATCTTTCAAGATACTTTTTATTGTTGGGTTCTTCATATATATCGTTTAAAAGTTCATTAAATCTTGGGCACGTATTATAAGGCAACAGCTCTTTATCTTCAAACTTAGGGACATAATTGTAAGGTATAGGTTGCCAATATATAGAAGACCACATCTGAGATCCAACAGGTGGATATAAACCCGCTAAGGCTAGTTGCAACGACATTTTAGTTCGATTATAATCTGAGGTTCTTGCTTCCAAATGTTTAATATTCCATGTTGGTCCTAAGAAATTGTTGTATCTTGAGCGTAAGTAGCTGCCTACTTGGTGCGCCCTTATTATGCCAGCCTATGAAATAAATACACATTGAGATTCTGATGAGTTAATACAAAATTTGAGACTTACTTTGTGTAATTGTCCATAACCTTCTGCATAATATTTTTCGTCCAGGTAAGGACTTAATAGACCTATGCTCACTTTATCCGGATTCCGGTCGCCGTGTCTCATAATCTGTGCAGAAAAACCAATGTAAAAATATTAAGCCCATAGCAAAACTTTATGACTTACCACATGGACTAATTCCAAAGTAGTTGAATTTTGAGTAGGACTAGAAGTGAAGAAAACTGCGAAATAAACACTCCAACAAAAAACGAAAAATATTATGAAGTAACCAATCAGGCACATTTCCTTTTTGTTCATTGTTCTTTGCACAAAAGTTTAACAATACTATGAGCATAAATCAATAAATAATACTAGAAATTGATAACCGCCAGTGATGCTTATATACATTTTAAGTGAGCCAATTAAGTATGCGGTTTGAACTAGGAAAATACACATCACTGCTTTTCGCTTTACTGGGAGCTTCTGTCGAAAAAGCGATATTTCCCACAACGATTTTTACAGGGTGATACAAATTTTTATTTTGTAGGTACTATACGAGATTTAAAATAAAAATTATAATTGCAGTACTTGCTGCCACTAAAATTTGATTGTGAACCACTGCATATAGTGAAACTTTTTTATTCTTATTCAATTTGATAACAAAAAATTTTTAAGAAAAATCTTAGCGGCATTTCCTTTTCAGCTACCCACCATTAAAGTGTACGGTAAAAGCAATATATCAATAAGCAATTATCATTATTTCCGTAAGTCACAATAGTTGTTGTGATACATAGTTGTAGGACACCTATATTTGAAGGTTATTTAATACATTTTAACAATCAACGTTATGAAGCAATTAGATCTTTTATGCAAAACTTACGAATTATTTCAGTTTGAATTAATTAACTATGGAGTGTGGATGACATACCATACCTAAATTATATTTTGAATTGAATTTTAGAAAAAAGAAATACAAAATCAAGAACCTTTTGGTTTTTATGTTCTGGCTAGATAATAGAGTAAAACTACACAATGTAAACTCATCGTATATGATTTATTGGCAGGTGCGGTTTGGTGCTTTGGTTGAATTTTTTTTTTCCAAAGAAAATCTTTTTGGGGTTTCACAACAACATTCTATCAATTATAATAGGCATATAGGTACCTATTAAGAATTAATATAGCTTTTATGAATTCCAAGATACCGACCAGTTGCCAAAAAGTATTAAAAGTTAAATGGAAATTTACCTAGTAGATTTTTCAATTTAGCCACTTTATGTTATTTGTTTATCCAAATATCAACTTTCTACACCATGTATAGACTAAAATCGAGCAAAATATGAATTAGGTAATGAACAGACTAAATAATTGTCAATTTGTAGCAGATATAAAAAATAAGGAAATTCCCATTATTTTTAATTACTTTAGAAAAATTTACTAGACGCGTTGTTGGTAAAAGAGTTTTGGAGAGTTAAACTTGAACATAAACCAACATGCAATTTTTAAATTAACATTTTATTTATCTCATATGTTCGGCTATATAAGTAGTTTTTAATACCTGAATGACTTGACTTATTTACAAAATATACTCAATTGATAACATCTGAATTTTATAGATAACAATGATTTTTAACTATTTTTCAATAATTACATCATGATTTTAAATTATAACAATCAAAAAATGTCAATTATCTAAGCGCTAATTAATGCACAATAATTTTTGGTTAACCTAATGTCTTTAAAATTCAATTTTCATATCTTATCAATAATTATGTAAGTACGTGTCATTTATTACAAACAGTATTGTAAATTGTATAAAGATGGTTTGTATGAAATTACTTTCACACCCTGTAAATTTAGAATTAAAGAAAATATGAATGAGGTAGGAAATACACTATTTTTAAATAATCATTCCACCATTAATAAAAAACCAAGGAAATTCTTACTTATGCATCATGATTAATAATTGTATTTTAATTGGGTATAGGTATATACCTACTTTTAGCAAAAATATAGGATTTTATACTTTAACCCAATTAGGAATTACTATATTTTTGTAAACATCTGCAAATTCTGTAGGTAATTTAAAATTCCCAATGTGTGACGGGTAACACCGATATACCTATTTATTCCGGAAATAACCACATAATTTTCTGTATAAAACCTAAATCGAGATTATTCATGATGAATAATTTCCCCAGCCGATCATAAACTAATTTAACTTGCAAATTGAATTTATCAAATTACATATTTTATAAAGTTTATTAATAAATTTTTTTAAATTTTCCGTAAGTACTTATAGGTATTATTTACTATGTAAAAAATTATTTATTTTTGTTCTCTAATATTCAATTAATTTTGGCATCGAATTTTTCCCTAGGAAATATAGGTGTATAACCCAAACAAAAATAATAAATAATTAATTTTCCTGACAATAATTAAAGCGCAGTAGGTAATTATTTTATTATTTCACTTTCACCCAAGCAGCAAGGGGTAGTTGAATCAACGTTGATTAAAGATTGATTGATGTCGTAGGCGTTGCTATACCAAAAATCAACGTTTAATGGCCATTGTGAAAACAACGTATGCGTCAACGTATTCTAAGCAAAGTCTATTCAACGTTGAATATAGATTGCAGGAGACATTGCAATTTTGGAAAAATAATTCGAACCCATTGGTACCAAAGTATTTATCAAATCTCGACTAGGTATAGCAACTTTGAATACTTATAACACTAGTTTTTCTCTGTTTGATTTAGCTCATCACTAGGGGTTGAATAAACGTTGAATGGGGGTTGAAAATGTTTTTTGAAATAAATATACGTTATCAGTAAAATTTAAGATATCAATAAAAAACCGGATATTTATTATTATACAGGGTGTCCCAAAAGTGATGGATCAAACTGAAACAGGGGATAGAGGGAGTCATTTTCAATCAAAATCACCCCCTATGTTGTTATGCAATTGTGGATAGTTTAAAAGTTATAACCATATTTGTGTATTTTTTAAATTCCATCACCTTGTCAATTAAAAGCTTTAAAAAAAATTATACTGTTGAATAAACAGAACGATTTTTTTTTGTTTGTACCTGGAAATGATGTGCCCTTCTAATAAAAATATTTTTTTAAAACATTACTTTTCGAGAGCGCTAGAAAAAAGTTTCTTTTCAGACTATTTACAACTTTAAAAATAAGTACTTTTGAGTCCATTTTTTTGCGAAAAAAAACGTAAGACATTAGAGTGACCCTGCAGCTTAAAAACTTCTGCGATTCATACTGATTCCAGCAAGGGACAATTTGAATACATTATTTGTTATTGCCTAATAAAATTTTGATTTTTTCAAGAAATAGACAAAAAAAATCCATAGCTAAATCAATATTTTCCAAGTTTTTTGAAATGAATTGTGATTTGTTGGGTTGGTGGATTGCAATAAGGCAAAAAAAATGGTTTATTGTTTTACATGACATTCTTGGTATTATTTACAATAAGTGTTCAAAATGTCTGCCGCGACTTCTAATGCATAACCTACATCGGCGTATAAAATTCCTCTTAATCATTCTGAATGAGCGTTCATTTTGACGAATTAATCTAGTTGCTGTAATTATTTGGTGACGTAGCTCTTCCTCATTATGATTTTCCCTGGCGTATACCAACTCCTTAAAGTATCCCCATAAAAAAAAATCAAGTGGGTTGAGGTCGGGGGAGCGCGGTGGCCAACGAATTGTACCTCCCCGTCCAATCCAACGACCAGGGTAGGCCCTATTTAAAAACTGTCTCACCTGAAGGCTGTAATGAGCGGGCGCTCCGTCGTGCTGCAGCCACATTGATTGGCGAAGATTCAATGGAATATCCTCAAGTAAAACAGGTAAGTTTCTTGTCAAAAATCTCCTGTAGATTTCGCCATTTAATCTGGCCGGTAGTTCAAACGGCCCAATTAATGAACCGTTAAAAATGCCACTCCACATGTTCACACTAAATTGATGTTGAAAGCGGTCATTTCTAACAATTCTGGGGTTAAAATATGCCTAGTGGTGTAAATTGTGAATATTAAATATTCCCGCCCTCCGAAAACTAGATTCGTCTGACCATAAAATTTTGTTAAAAAATTGTGGGTCCTGCCTATTGCGACGAAGCATTTCTCTACAAAATTCCACCCTCTTATCGTAATCACCCGGTCTTAGATCTTGAACTCGTTGTACATGATAGGGGTGCAATTGGTTTCTTCGTAGAATGCGGTGTACTGTTGTCGGAATACCAGAACGTCTTGATATGCGACGAACACTAGTTGAAGGTTCCTCTAATGCCATTTCAACGATGTCATCTTCTGCGTCAGCATTTTCATAAGGCCTTCCTGCTCTGTGAGGATTTCCAGGAATCTGCCCCTCCACGTATGCGTTATGCACTCGTTGAAACACCCTGTAGTCGGGATATCGTTCACGACCAGGAAATCGTTCACGATATTCCCTTTCAGCCGCTCGAGCGTTTCCATTACAAAACCCATAAACAAAATGCATTTCTGCATACTCACGGACGGTATAAGGCATTATGTTTTAAGTTGTAAAAATAATGCAAAATTGCATGTACCTAGCCGATGCCTGGACAACACAACACTACCTATTTTAAATTATTTTTAAATTTTGTTTATGACAAAAAACACGACAAATCAACATTGTTAAAAAAAAAATGCAGATAAATCGGTCAGTACTAGAAGTCGACATATTTTTAAATATTTTTGGAATACTTTGTGAGTACCTTTATTATTCTTTCGTAAAATAATAAAGCAAAATATTGATTTAGCCATGGAATTTTTTTTGCCTATTTCTTGAAAAAATCAAAATTTTATTAGGCAATAACAAATAATATCTTCAAGTTGTACCTTGCTGGAATCAGTATGAATCGCAGAAGTTTTTAAGCTGCAGGGTCACTCTAATGTCTTACGTTTTTTTCGCAAAAAAATGGACTCAAAGTTAAGTACTTATTTTTAAAGTTGTAAAAAGTCTAAAAAGAAACTTTTTTCTAGCGCTCTCGAAAAGTAATGTTTAAAAAAAAAAATTATTAGAAGGGCACATCATTTCCAGGTACAAACAAAAAAAAAACGTTCTGTTTATTCAACAGTATAATTTTTTTTAAAGCTTTTATTTGACAAGGTGATGGAATTTAAAAAATACACAAATATGGCTATAACTTTTAAACTATCCACAATTGCATAACAACATAGGGGGTGATTTTGATTGAAAATGACTCCCTCTATCCCCTGTTTCAGTTTGATCCATCACTTTTGGGACACCCTGTATAGGTATCTCAATGGATGCAGGTTTAATGTTTCAAGTTCCAACATTCGACATGAAATAAT